AGCTTGAGGAAAAGGAAGGGAGGGGATGCTGGGAGTGATAGTGTTTGTCTTCCCAAGGCACCATTATGTCTGATGGAGCCCTGCTGTCCTGGAGACGGGTGAACACCTGCCTGTCATGGGAAGTAGTGGACAAATCCCTTGGTTTGCTTTTGCTTTACCTGTTAAACTGTATCTTAATCCATGAGTTTCCTCACTTTTACCCTTCCAACCCTCTTCCCCATCCCACCAGGGAAAAGTGAACAAACTGTTCTATGGGGCTGAGTTGACCCTAACAGTTACTCTTTAAAGAAGTTCCACAAGAAACGCTTTACTTTCTGAAGCATCTCAACAACCAAATTCTGACTTAACCCCATCACCATCTCGACAGACACTCAACTTTGGTCTCTCTCAAGACCATCATCACTGCAACCCAAGTCACAACATTGTACATACAGCAAGAATCACCATAGGATCACACAATGGCTTGGGATGGAAAGGACCTTAAGCTCATTCAGTTCCAACCCACTGCCATGGCATTCTTAAAGGCAAGATATTGTTCATAAAATCAGATCTTCACCAGACAGCTTTCAAATGAGCCACCAGCCAGGAAGTTCAGCTATTTTATCACAAAGCCTTCATAAGAAGCAGCCTATTTTCACACCTCCTAGCTGATCCCACAATTCAACAGCAAAATCAACACCACACATTCCTCTTTTCCTATTACAGCCTGATTTACACCATCCCCCAAATCCCAAAGAGCATTTCAAATTGGTTCGTGCACTTTAAGACAAGACCATACCTGTGGACACACGGTTAAAACATCTCACCCCCTATTAATACAGGCTCATTTGACATCAAAACTTGTCAAACAAATACAGGAAGCTGTTCTTGAGCACTGCTGTCATGGCTATTTGTCTTGAAATTTTTAGGTAGGAGAGATAATAAAGTTCAAGTGCTGTCTGAGCCTTAAAAACCTAAAATACCTCTAAGAAATACTTGATAGCTTCCTTGTTGTCAGCATCTGCTCAGCATCCTCACAGCATCCCTTCTGTAAAGGAAGTCATACCTTATACCCTTAATAATGGACAAGTTCTTTGCTGTAATTATTAACTGGAAAGAAAACATGAGTGTTCTACAACTACTGAACAACATACGAATGAGCTCCTGGTTCTCCTTGAGGCTCCTAACAAAGAAAATGACCTCTACTGATCTCTCACAAGAGTAATTCTTGAGACAAGACAATCTAGGCCGTGTTTAAAAACATAAGACCAAAACACCACCCCAAACCCCATACTGGGACTGCTGAACATCAAAACAGTATTGACTCCCTTCCTTCATTGCAAAATTAATATGGGGAGGAGCTCAAAACAGCCATTACTTCAGAGCAGCCGTCCGGTATCTGAAGGGGACTACAAGGATGCTGGAGAGGGACTGGAGGGATAGCACAAGGAGTGATGGGTTTAAACTTGAACAGGGGAGATTTAGGTTGGATATAAGGAAGAAGCTCTTCCCTGGGAGGGTGCTGAGGCGCTGGCACAGGGTGTCCAGAGAAGCTGTGGCTGCCCCATCCCTGGCAGTGCTCAAGGCCAGGTTGGACACAGGGGCTTGGAGAAAGCTGCTCCAGTGGAAGGGGTCCCTGCCTGTGGCAGGGGTTAGAACCGGATGAGCATTAAGGTCCCTTCAACCCAGCCTGGGATTCTGTGATTCTACTGAGATTTAAAAGTTGCTCTACATACAAGAAAATCAGAAAATAAAACATTTCATAGGTTCTGTAGCTATTTGCTCTGATTTTATGTACACTGTCAATGCAAATCCGCTGTCAAGCTATGCTGGTATCAAAAGTGAAACTGTATAGAACTGAAATCAAAATCCCTTTTGCTATCCAAGGAAAACTACATACAGTTGGTAAATAACAGATGTTCAGCAGAAAAAAAGACCACTTTAGTTTTCAATCAATGTTTAGCAACTTTATGACTTGTACACTTAAAAACAGCACTTTGAAGACTAATGGAAGTAAATATTATGTAGAGAAATCCTGTCATGACAAGAACTATCCCAAAAGCATGGTTGTCCCAAAGGCCAAGTGCAGGGTCCTGCCCCTGGGTCAGGGCAATCCCAGCACAAACACAACCTGGGGGAGGCTGGATGGAGCAGCCTGAGGAGAAGGGCTTGGGGTGCTGGGTGAGGAGAAGCTCCCCATGACCCGGCTTCAGTGAGCGCTTGAGCCCAGAACCCCCCCGTGTGCTGGGCTGCACCCCCAGAGCGTGAGCAGCAGCTCAGGGAGGGGATCCTGCCCCTCTGCTGTGTGAAGGGGAGGCCCCCCCTGCAGCCCTGATCCAGCTCTGGGGCAGCAGCACAAGAGGGACGTGGAGCTGTTGGAGCAAGGCCAGAGGAGGCCATGGAGCTGCTGCGAGGGCTGGAGCAGCTCTGCTCTGGAGCCAGGCTGAGAGAGCTGGGCTGGGGCAGCCTGGAGAAGAGAAGGCTCCTGAAGGGGAGACCTTAGAGCAGCTCCAGTGCCTAAAGGGGCTGCAGGAAAGCTGGAGAGGGGCTTGGGACAAGGGCCTGTAGGGACAGGCCAAGGGGAATGGCTTGAACCTGCCCGAGGGGAGACTGAGCTGAGCTCTTAGGCAGAAGCTCTTCCCTGTGAGGGTGCTGAGGCGCTGGCACAGGGTGCCCAGAGAAGCTGTGGCTGCCCCATCCCTGGCAGTGTTCAAGGCCAGGTTGGACACAGGGGCTTGGAGCAAGCTGCTCCAGTGGAAGGCATCCCTGCCCATGGCAGGGGTTGGAACTGGAGGAGCTTCAAGGTCCATTCCAACTCAAATCCATCTGGAACTCTGTGAATGAATGTCCTTAGTTGTTTTTTCAAGTCAAAACTGTTTGAAAGGTGGAAATCTAACCCTGATGAAATACAGGCCTTAAGGTCCCTTCCAAACCATTCTGTCATTCCATGATTACATGCTACTACAATGTATCATGACTTTACCAGAGGGTCACATCAAACCCTGTATCTTCTGATCAACAGTACACAAACATGCTTGATACCAAACATTAGATACAAGAAAAATCAATCACATTAACAAACACTGTTTCACTACTCTGTCCATGAGGAATATACTCAATCTATGCTATAAAATACCAGGTAACAGCCATCAGCATCCCAATCTAAGCCCCATGAGTTGTAACCAAGAAAACCCCTGTCAACCCATAATGAAAACTCCATAATCCAAGTCACTGGAAAGCTGTTTAGAACATAGTTATGCAGAAATCATTGTCTTACTGACACACATCATGCAATGAAAGCCATCAGGATTATACTTGTTAATCAAATGCATATCTTAAAGCACAGGTCAATATATCACACCTTTATTTGAATTTATACTGCATTTTACACAAGAAAATTACTCTTACACACCCACTCCTATCCCATCACAGAGTAAAAGCATCACCTTTCTTTACAGACATCACTTTAAAAAGACATATTTTCATTAAAAATTCAAACAGAAAAGTATGTTGGTGGGTCTTATGAATAAGTTTTGCAACAGTTTAACAAAACTGTGCTGCTCCTGATGTGTCCTTTATATAACGTAAGAGGTAAAGGGCTGGGGAATTGAATATAAATACCTGTTTTCCAGAACATTAACCCTGTTTTTAGAAGTTAGTGGATCTCAGCTGTCTGTTTTATACTGATCAGACACTGGACAACACGAGGAGACAACACATTAATCCTATTTCACTGTATTCCTGCAGTGGCTGTTGTGAACTCACAGACAGGACAACTGCACTCTGCACAAAACCCAACTTCCTTTATATAAGGAGTCCCTCCATGCTGATTTAAACACCCCCCCCCTTTGAAGACAGGGAGGGTTAGGTGGGGAAAGAGGGGAGAATGAGTGTGTTTGGGGGGAAAAGCAGGGGCTGTTGGACCAAAAGCAGCCCTGAGCTGGGCTTCTCCAGCAGCAGGAAGTTTCTATGGGGCCTGGCCGAGCATGCGCCGTGAGCTCCACAGTCTCCCTATGTGGCAAGAGTGCAGAGGCAAGAACCAAACCAATAACAAGAGACAAGAGACCAAGAGCAACAAGCACCTTCCCCTCTCTATTCCGACTGCAGCCTCCATAAAGCCCTCCCCAGGCTTGGACAGGGCCCTCCCACCTCCATGGCTGGGAGCAGGAATTAAGGAGTCTGGCAACCAAATCTGCTACTGGAGAGAGGGGGAAAGGGGAGGAGGAGCAGCTTGAAAGGGAACAGCCGAGTGTATAACCCATCCCTCCACCTCGCTCAGCTCAGGTGGCGGTGGGGAAGGAGGAAGCAGCTAGATTATCCCCCCCCTCCCCAACTACAAGAGGGGACGAGAGGGAGGAGAAGAGAGGGATGGAGGTGGCACACAATGGCTGACTGTTGGTGGGGAGGAGATGGCCTACAACAGCAGTCATGGGGAGGGCGCAGGGCTTCTCTGTGCCTCCCCTCCCCATTCCTCACCCCACAGAGAGGGAAGGAGGAGGGGTTGAAGGAGGATCAGGACACTGCCGTGTGTGTGTGCGTGTCCTTCTTGCTTTAGGGGTGAAGGAAAAACGGACATATATGAAGGGTGGGGATGGGGGGGGGAAGGCTGAGAAGCAACCCCCCAAGCTGTGGGGTGGGGAGGAGATGGAAAAGCCCCATTGCCAGCGCCAGGGTGAACAAAAATAGTTATTTTAGCTTAGCCTCCATTCTGCAGGAATCCCACCCGCACGGAGCACGGGAACGGACTCAGGGAAACAAGAACGGGGAGGGGGGGAAAGGAGGAAAGGGGGGTCACAGCCGACACTGACAACGGGGAGGACGGGAAGGAGGGGAGGAAAGGTCCCCCCACGTCCTTCCCGTGCCCCATAACGGGGAGGCAGCTCCCCCCCATAGACACAAACAGCTGCTCCCCCCCTAAAAAAAGCAGGAGAAGGCTCCCCTCCCCCCGGAGCGCCGCTCCGGGAATCCCAGGCCCCTCCTCTCCCTCAACGCGCTCCACCCCCGGGGCCGGGAGGAGGCGGGGGGGGGAATAGCCCCAGTCCCCTACTTCACCCCCAGCACCGCGGCCCCCCACCTTCAACCGGTCATACAGAGTGAGGGTGTGTATGGGGGGGAGGGGGTGGGCTGAGGTAACCGGGCCGCTCACCCTGATCTCCAGGCTCCTGCGGCGGCTGCAGGACGCGCTCCAGCTCGGGGAAAGGCAGCTCGGGCAGGTCCAGTAAAGCCCCGTAGCGCTCGAGGAAGGAGCAGACGACGGCGAAGTTAGGCCAGGAGCCGGGGCAGCACGGGCCCGCCGGAGGAGGGGCAGGCGGAGATGGGGCCGGAGGAGCCGCCGCCGCCGCCGCCATCTTGGACCTGAGGATGGAGAAGGCGCTGAGGGGAAAGAGGGGGGAGTAGGGGAGAGGGAGGGAGGGGGCGCTGCCGAGCCGCGCCGCCAGTATCCCACAATGCACCGGCGGAACAGCGAGGGGCGGGGGGGGAACGGCGGCCCTCCGCCGCGTGCGGCTAGGGGAATGAAAACAAGGCGGGGCTCCCCCACTGGTATTTATAGCAGGGCGGGGATAGACCGCCCGGCTGACCAATCGCAATGGGAGGTGGGCGGGGCCAGCAGGTACCGCTGGCCAATGAGAGAGCACCGAGCGTTCCCGCCCCCTCCCTTCCGCGGTCTAGGTAGAGGTTGGTCCCGGTGGGGTACGCGGTGTGTGGTGAGTGTCAGCGGGCATAGCGGATCCCCTCCGTGTGAGGGGACGCGGTGGGACGGGACGGGAATGGAAGGGGAAGGGGAGCGAATGGCCGCTCGTCTCGTGGTCCCGCTGACAGGCAGCCGCTCTGTAGAGCTGCCCGGCGTTAGAGTGATGAGGTGGCAGGGCCTTGCTTTGAGGTGTGTTTCTGGGTGTCTGGAAGCTGTGCTGTCCGCCCCCTTCATGCGGTTCTGCATCTCCCCAGCTCTTCTCTCGGCTCTCTGCTTTTTCCCTATTCCTTCTCTCCCACCTACTTCGAGGAATCCTGCTCTGTTCCCGTCACTCCACCCTCTTGTGATCTTCACCAGTAATTCTTCACCCGGCTTCTCAGCAGTATTAGGTTAATGCGCTCCCAAAGAAAGTTCTTCTAGTTCTTAAACCTGCTATCTATCCCCTCCTTACCCGGTTTAAACTTAACCTGCCTTGTGTACTTGCTGTTGTGCTGTCAGTTATGAAGTCCTGAAGAAGCGCTGCTCCTTTAGCTGCTGCATTGCTCCTGAAATGGCTGAGGAGAAGCTGCCGGCCTTCACCTGCAGACCCTGCAGAATTAACGTTGGCTTTTGATGCATGGCAGTTGTTCCATCTGAAGCTGCCCATATACTGACTTACTCTGTCACCTTTGTGCTCTTTGATCTCAGGTTGCTCTTAGATTTTATGAAGCATTCCTTCCCTCTGCGGTCTGTTTGTAAAATACCCTGATGTGCTGCTGTTGTTCAGCTTCTATACTCGATTTGTTGGTGGTGAGAGCCGCTCTGAAACAACATTTACCCTCACTGGAGATGAGGGTTGGCAACTTTAAAATCCACCTGCTTGTTTGCCTGCACTTCATCTCAAGTTTCTGTTTCATTCTCAGCTGTTCTTTTCTTCAGCCACTGCTTCATTTGGTGCAGTCTCCTCACATAAACTTGTATTTTACCTCCTTTTAAGCTCTCCTTCCTTTATTTACTGTGATTTTACACTCTCATAACTGTTAGATTCCTGAACCATTCCTCCTCCTCGTCTCTTCGTGTTTGAACGACTGCAGCGTACAGAAATTGTTAGTTTAGATTAAACTTATGAGTCATAGGGTTCATGGTCTCTGATCTTAAGGGGTGGTGCAGGTTTTGGTGCTGTACCTTTGTCACAGTAATTAAAGAAGCCAAATCATTTGTTGGGGAAGCGTTTTTCTGCTCCTTGCTGACTGGTGACAGGACCATGCCCTGTGTGCATGTCCTGGGTTCAGCAGGAGCAGTCACTTTTCTCCTTAGTAGCTGGTGCAGTGCTGCGGTTGTGGCTTTCGCGCTGATGTTTTTAGTTGCTGCTCAGTAATGTGTACTCTGAGCAAGGACTTTCTGAGTCTCATGCTCTGCCAGGGAGGGGAGGAAGCAGAGACAGGACACCTGACCCAAACTGACCAAAGAGGTATTCCATGCCACAGCACATCACACTCACTATATAAACTGGAGGCAGTTACCCAGCAGGGCTAGATCACTGCTCAGGTCAGGCTGGGTATCGGTTGGCGGGTGATGAGCGGTTGTATTCTCCTCCCTTGTTCCCTTATCATTATTATTATTGCTGGTAGCAGCACTGATTTGTGTTATACCTTAGTTACTGGACTGCTCTTATCTCAACCTGTGGGAGTTACATTCGTTTCATCCTCCTCCTTATCCCTCTGGGAGCAGCACTGGGGGAGAAAGGAGGGGAGTGAGAGAGAGAGACTACGTGGTTCTGAGTTACTGACTGGACTTAAACCATGACAGTCCAGAATGTTCAAAGTTCCAGATAAAATGTTCATTCCTACTTGAAGATACTCTTACTAATTCAAATCCTGTTACTGGTATTCTCTGGCAGTATTACAGGAAATAGCTTTAGATTACAACTTTTATGTATGGCTTTTAAGTTTTCTTTCTTTGTTTCTGCTACTTGTTTATTTTTGTGCTATTTGGAAACAAGAGTATGGATTAGGAAGCTCTTCCCTGTGAGGGTGCTGAAGCGCTGGCACAGGGTGCCCAGAGAAGCTGTGGCTGCCCCTTCCCTGGCAGTGTTCAAGGCCAGGTTGGACACAGGGGCTTGGAGCAAGCTGCTCCAGTGGAAGGGGTCCCTGCCCGTGGCAGGGGTTAGAGCTGGATGAGCTTTAAGGTCCCTTCCAACCCAAACCATTCTGATTCTGTGAACCCTGGCTCTCCTGTTTGCATTGTAATTGCCTTGTAATACCATTTGGATTATGAAAGCTGATATTTCTAATTACTGTTCATTCACCAATGTCAAATCTCCGGGTCTAATTCTGCAGTTTCCTCTCAACCGCAGCACAGGCGAAGGTTGTTTTCCTTCTTCAGAGCCAGGCTGTGAGCAGTTTATTCAACCTTTACTGCGGTTGGTGGGTGATTTTGTTCTGTTGGGGTACAGCTGGTTATTCTGCTGCTGTAATCTCCCTTCAAGCAGATCTTTGGAAAAAAAGTCTTGCAGACTGCTGTTTAAATCCACTGCATTGTGGATGTGTGGTGAGGGAAGCCAGAATACATGAATCCAAGTAAGTTTCATCCCCTCATGGCTGCTTGCCTGTTTGGCAGGGGATGGAAGAGTCACAGAGTGGTTTGTGTTCTGGAAGCTAAAAGCCCATCCAGTTCCAGCCCCCCTGCCATTGGCAGGGACACCTTCCACTAGAGCAGGTTGCTCCAAACCCCATCCAACCTGGCCTTGACACTTGGCCTTGTTGAGCTCCATGAGGTTCACATAGTCCCACCTCTCCAGCCTGCCCATGTCCCTGTGGTCCCATCTGTTCTCTGCAGCTATTCTGTGGAAGAAGCACCTCTGGCAGACTTGCTCTTGTTCTGAATCCAACCTGATGTGTTTTTATGTCATGTGAAGTGGGACACTGAGACCCTCTCCTGGCAATCTGAGGCGAGTGTGTCTGTGCTGTGATTTGCTGTAGCATGTTCAAGCCAGGGAAAAGGAGGCTTTCCAGGAGGGTTGGAAACCTGGTAACCCAAAGATTCCTGTTTTGTGAGGGCTCTTTAATCTCTGCCATCAGGGCTCCTGCGATTGATTCATTTATTATTTATTTTCCTGATGGATTTGGATTAAAAAGGAAAAGATGAGAAACCTCATGTCTGGAGATATCAGCCAGGGAGAATTTCTGGATCGTTCAGGAGCAGATCTCTTTTTACTGCAGGCACAACCAGTTTTCTACGTAACGTGGTGTTCAGACCATCTTCCTCCTGAACTGGACAGATGGGAAGGTGGCTCCCTTCGAGGAGCATTTCCAGGGTGTCACCAGGCAATTCCTCTTGCTATCTACTGCCAGAATCACAGCAGCAATCAGCTCACAGTGATATGAGGGACTGTGAAGAGGGCATAAGCTTCCATGGTGGGGTGAGCTGGTGCTTTGAGTCCCTGCCTGATGGCTGCCCAGCTGTGACTGTGATAGAGATCTCAAAATGAGTGTGCTTAATACCAAAAAGCAGTTGGTCGTTAGCAGTGCTGATAAGGCCTCAGCTGGAGCACTTCATGTAGTTCTAGGCAGCACACATCAAAGATGCATGCCAATTGTTGGCTGCCAGGGGAAAAGAGAGGAGAAAATAAGCAGAAATGTAGAAAACATGACTGAAGGGAAGTTTATTTCATTTAAAAGAAAGGAAAAAACACAAAGAGTTAAGTCTGTGGGAAACAAAAGGTGGTGAAAAAGAGAAGGCTTAAGCTCTTCTTGTCAGCAACAGAAAGGATTAGAAAAAAAAGGGTTTAAACTGAAACAATGAAGGTTGAGGTCAGACATTGGAAAATGTATTATTTGGGTGTTTAACTGTCCAGAGACATTTATCTCTGCCAGGAGTGACAAGGGAAAGAAGGTTGGAAAGTCTCCTTTGCTGTAGCAACATGGCAATGCCATTGTTCTGTTCCTGGCCTTTCCATTGTGTTTATTGGGAGCTGTTTAACCTCATGTACCACTTTTAATTAGCAAAGCAGCCAAAGAAACGGTGTGTCTCAGCTATTTTAGGATGTAATTACTATATTCATTGTACATTTTAGGGAGAAGGTTGAAACCCAGATGGGTTGGAGCAACCTGCTCTAGTGGAAGATGTCCCTGCCCATGGCAGAGAGGTTGGAACTGGATGATCTTCAAGGTCCCTTCCAACCCAAACCAGTCTGTGCTTACATGACTCTATGTGAGAGGATATTCTGGATCCTGATCCCTATTGGTAGTTTTAAGAGCTGAGCACCCAATACTTGTACAGATTGAGTATATAAAATTATTTGTGCCAAATCCTGCACAAAATGACCCTCAGTTCAATTCAGTTGTACCAAAATGATGTGGATAAAGCCTGTAATAGCACTGCCTTCCTAACTCCTTGGGGCAGGGGCAGAGCTTTCTGGTTATGTTAACATGCTGCATGTGTTAGCCTGATGTTATGCATTAAAATATCCTTTTTCCAGACATTGGTTCAACTTTGTGATGTCTTCCCCTGAAATTGCTTCCCTTTCGTGGGGTCAGATGAAGGTGAAAGGCTGCTCCACAACATACAAGGACTGCAAAGTCTGGCCAGGAGGAAGCCGAACCTGGGACTGGCGAGAAACTGGGACTAATGTAAGTTTGCTGGTTACAGTCCTCTAGTCCAAAGACCAGTTGTTAAAGTTCGAGCCAGAGATTCTGCAGGTTGCTTTTTGCTTCCATCTGTTGGGCTTTTCCTGGGAAGAACTGAGTGTGTGTTCCAGACATGACTGCAAACGGGCTGGAGGACTGCAGGCACGATGTCCTGTAGGTGATGGTGCAGCGACTCTCCTCCCAGCTCCCCTCACCAGGCAGCTCTCGCATCCCTTCTAGGTCTCACACAGCATTCTGTGTTTGGTTAAGGGTGCAGTTGTCACCAGCTGCTGGTCACAGCCTCTTTCAGGCTGTGTAAACAGAAATTGTCTGGAGTGAGACAGGAAAAAATGTAAGTGAAGCTAAAAGAAATCACCAGTAACTGACCCTGTGTGTTTGGAAGACAGCAATGCATGTGGTTTAGTTTAGATCCTTTTCCTTGGGGTCCCTTGTGCTTATTTCAGAGGAAAGATATGCAGCTAGTGTCATACACACTGGTTTTGCCATGAAAAGCTCACAGTCTGGCTAAGCACACAATGACTGCTCTTGGTAGCCATATACCAAGTGCTTGCCCTCACAATTTGTAAGCTTTATCTGTAAATGCTATCAGAACAGTATAAAAGTCCACGGAACAGTACTGACATTCCAGATTTAGAAGCAGTATAACATCTGTTGTGTTAGGAACTTGATGTTGGTAATTCTCCCCATATATTAGGCTTGCACTACAATAGCTTTATTGGCCAGGGAAAAAAATTCCAGGCTTTCTAAGCAAAAGTTAAAGCACAAAAGGACTATGTACCAACCATGTCTTAGACCCAGCACCTGCGTCCACAGCCCTGTTGAATTCATTTTGATGCAACTCAAGGGTTTGCAGCTTCATCTGTAATCTTTGGGGGGACAGAACTTTGCTAACCTGTGAGAGGTACATTTATACAGTTTATAACACCAAGAGAAAGGTAGTTTTTACCTTGCAGAGAGAGATAGCTGCATATATAACCTTTTAAAATGTAATTCTGTTAGGGACTGATTATAAAGATGAAGCTCTCACTGGCTGGAGAGGGGGGTTGTATGCCAAGAGTCACTTCTTGCTTGTTTGATAGTGTTTTCCTGGTTCTTTAGGTCAGTTCTATCCCTCTTGTCGCTATGAGGAGTTAGGTGATGTGCTTTAAACATGAATCACAAGCAACCACTATAAGAACAGAGCTAAGCTTTTCCAGCCTGCATCTCCAACTTGAAGAACTGTACAAAATGAATCCAGTCAGCACTGGAAGCAGTAGCATTCACCAGATGCATTTTCTGCATGTTTCTTTATGGTAGACTAGAGTGCATCTATTTTCATTGAGCATGCTTTTCCTGGGGGTAAGTGGAGCTGAAGCTGGGGAAACAGGCAGTGCTGATCATGTCCCACATGCCAGCTGGAAATGAACTGCTTCCTTTCCTCCTCTGCTGTCAGGCTGCTGTGTGGTATGTAATCCTTTCATCGTATAACTGGCTCTGCAAGGTTCTGTAACTGAGCACTGATAGCTCTTACAGCATTAACCCTTGGGGATGGAAGGCAGCCTCCCTGCCTGGCTGCACTCCTGCCATCATGGGAGAAAAGAGGAGGAAGTCAGAGAACAAAAGAGGCAAGGAATTCTGCTGCTCTGCCTCTCCCCATCCAGCTGCCCAGTCGACAAGGATGCACTTATTCCACCATGTTACATGTTTCCTACAAAACAGGTGAAAGCCCCACATTAGTGTATCTTGTGTAAGCACAGAAAATCCTTTTGTTCCATGGCTTCAGTGTCTCAGGAGTACTTACATGGCACAAACCTTCCCCAGTAATCCAATTATTGCAATTGCAGTAAAACATTCCAGTTCTTTTTGTCCAAGTTTTGAGCCTACTTTTAAAAACCCCAAAGGAAAGGAATGTCCTGTTCTGTCACAAACATACGCTTGCAGTGATTTGCTCTGGGATTGCTTTGTGGATTGAAATGACCTCTGCATTCTAGGTGTAGATATCAGATGTGAAAGGACGAAGGAGAGGACAGCTTTTGGGCTGGCCAGCTGCATCCTGGGGTGCATCAAGCACAGCATAGCAAGCCAGTTGAGGGAGATGATTCTCCCACTCAAGGCCACACTGATGCAGCCTCACCTTGAGTGTCATGGGTGGGTTTGGGTGCCTCAGCATACGGACATCAAACTATTAGAGTGTGTCCAGAGGAGGGCGACCAAGATGCTGAAAAGCCAGGAGGGAAAGTCTTGGGAGGAGTGGCTGAGGTCACTTGGCTTGTTCAGCTTGGAGAAGGCTGAGGGTGACTTTATCCCAGTCCTCAGCTTCCTCAAGAGGAGCAACAAATGGGGAGGTGCTGATCTCTAGTGACCAGCAATAAGACACAAGGAAATTGAGTCAATCTGCATCAGGGGAGTTCAGGTTGGACTTTAGGAAAAGGCTCTTCAAGGAGAGGGTGGTTGGACACTGGAACATGCTCCCTGGGAAGTGGTCAGGGCCTGAAGCCTGTTAATGCTTGAGGAGTGTCTGGACATCACTGTTGGTTACATGGTTTAGTGTTAGGTGGTCCTATGAGGAGAAGGAAGTTAGAGTCAATGATCCTTATGGGTCCCTTCCAACATGATGATCCTGAAGGTAGTTTCCAACATAGCTGATTCTCTGATTCCATGAGGTATTCTATGAACTTAGAGAACCATAAAGGCAAACCACCTATGTGGCTGAAACTCCAGGCACCATCCAGGCTAAAGGCTTTCTTCTGGAATAAGTTTAATCCATTCCTTGGAAGTTGGACTCTGCTGTGGGAAGTTTCTTTCACCTGCAACTTGAGGACCTTACTTGTGTGTTTCAGAGTCAGAAGCCTCACTTGCTCTGTTCTGCAAGCTGAGGCAGTGACAGGGCTGAGAACTCTTACATCTTGTCTGAAGTTGCAGTGTCAGCAGGGAAGAAAGAACAGGAGAGGACACAAAGAGCAAAGCTCACTAATGGAACATCAGTTGTTAAGCTGGTGCTTTGACCTTAATTCATTGAAAGTATGGAGTATTTTTCTGGAAGTGTAAGGGATAAAGCATTAAAATAACATCCTCCAGAAGTCCACCATGGCATTACCTGCTTCAGGTGTGAAACTCATCTCAGTTCTCTCAAGGAACATAAGAATTCTACTCAAAAAAAGGAGGGGGAACGGTATTTATGATCTAAAAACAATGCACACCAAAGAGGGGCTAAATTCTAGCACAGGTTGTGCAGTATCTTACTCTTGGCTATAGAGAGATATATAAAACTTGAATCCAGGAGGAGAATTACAGTGACATGATGAAGTTTTATGTTAACATTACAGGTGTATTTGTGGTTCTTATGTTTAAAGTAGTAGTAAATAGTTGTACTCCTTTAAAACCCTCATGCTCTTAAAGCTCTTTGTCTTGGAGGAGTTTGGTTTCAAATACTCCTTTCTCCACATTAGGAATAGGGCAGAACTTGAAACTGAAATGAAGATGACAACATATTCCAGTCCTCAGTGGTAAATGAGATTTGCAGAGTAAACAAGGAAGTCATTTTATCGTTTTAATTATCTGAGGAGCTCTTTGTAATTAAAATGAGGATTGGGCTGGGACAGTCAATCAGTGTTACAATCAGATTTTGTTCCTTTGAAAACAGCAATATGTTGCAATTTGTGGATTTCACTTTAACAGCTATAAAATGCTCCTTCTTAGATGTAAATCATAGAGTCACAGAATGGTTTGGGTGGGAAGGGACCTCAAAGCTCATTCAGTTCCAACCCCCTCCCCCAGGCAGGGACCCCTTCCACTGGAGCAGCTTGCTCCAAGCCCCTGTGTCCAACCTGGCCTTGAGCACTGCCAGGGATGGGGCAGCCACAGCTTCTCTGGGCACCCTGTGCCAGCGCCTCAGCACCCTCACAGGGAAGAGCTTCTGCCTAAGAGCTCAGCTCAGTCTCCCCTCGAGCAGGTTCAAGCCATTCCCCTTGGCCTGTCCCTACAGGCCCTTGTCCCAAGCCCCTCTCCAGCTTTCCTGCAGCCCCTTTAGGCACTGGAGCTGCTCTAAGGTCTCCCCTTCAGGAGCCTTCTCTTCTCCAGGCTTCCCCAGCCCAGCTCTCTCAGCCTGGCTCCAGAGCAGAGCTGCTCCAGCCCTCGCAGCATCCCCATGGCCTCCTCTTGACTTGCTCCAAGAGCTCCACACATTCTAGAAGCATGTAATGCTGCTTTTTACCTGTACAATGAAGTATTAAAATACTGCCATCAACTGATTAACTATCACCCTTCATCTGCATACAGAATGCCTTTTTTTAATTACCAGTGTTATCTGCTGTGTGTATGAAGAGGCTTGTGTTACGTTTTGGCACTGCTAATTTATGCTGCTACTCTGTGGACAGTTTCAAAAGACACCGAAGCAGCTTACCTGGTTAATGCTCTCAGTACAAACTGTTGTTTTCCTCCCCTGGCTCTCAGCATTCTCCAGGAGTGCAACCAGCTGACCTTGAAGAAGTGGTCAAGAAGGGTGTTAAAACTGTGGTCATTGGTCGTGGCATGAGTGAGGCACTGCAGGTAGGCCTGTGTGCTGTGAGAAAGATGAACTAGAACTGTTTGCTTTCCCTCTGATCAGGAGGAAAAAGAACTCTAAGATGCCTTCCTAAAAGGGGGAGAATTCAGGATGCTGAACTGACATCAGTGAGCTCCTGCCAGGAGTCCCTTTTTCCTGAAAGAAACATCGTTTCAGATCCTCTGTGTTAGCATCAATGTGAAATGGTAAAACAGGTTCATCTGCTACAGGAGGAATTTAAACAAGGAGAACTTACAATGTCATTACTCACCCTCTTAGAACAGGTCATGAATTCCTTCTCTGGCCTGCTGTAGACTTTGATAATGAGGTATTTTCATTGCTCGCTTCAGCAGATAGCACTTCTGGGTCCCTGTAGCTAGCCTGAGCTTCAGGAGAAGCCACTCTTTAGTTTTTGATGAGATCACAGAATCATAGAATCATAGAATAGTTAGGGTTGGAAGGGACCTTAAGATCATCAAGTTCCAACCCCCCTGCCATGGGCAGGGACACCTTGCTCTAAACCATATTACCCAAGGCCTCGTCCAACCTGGCCTTGAACACTGCCAGGGATGGAGCATTCACAACCTCCCTGGGCAACCCATTCCAGTGCCTCACCATCGTAACAGGAAAGAATTTCCTCCTTATATCCAATCTAAACTTCCCCTGTTTAAGTTTGAACCCATCACCCCTTGTCCTATCACTACAGTCCTTAATGAAGAGTCCCTCCCCAGCATCCCTATAGGCCCCCTTCAGACACTGGAAGCTGCTCTGAGGTCTCCACGCAGCTTCTCTTCTCCAGGCTCAGCAGCCCCAACTTTCTCAGCCTGTCTCCATACAGGAGGTGCTCCAGTTCCTGCTCATCCTCGTGGCCTCCTCTGGACTTGTTCCAACAGATCCATGTCCTTTTTATGTTGAGGACACCAGAACTGCACACAGTGCTCCAAGTGAGGTCTCACGAGAGCAGAATGAAGGGGCAGGATCACCTCCTTCGACCTTCATCCTACAATGAGTAACACCTTATTGAGATAACTGTACCTTTAGCTCCAGTTCTATTTATTTTGGTAAGAAAGGGATGCATTTTACTCATAGAATAACCAGGACTGTAGTGACAGGACAAGGGATAATGGGTTAAAACTTAAACAAGGGAGATGTAGGTTGGATACAAGGAAGAAATTCTTTACTGTGAGGGTGGAACAGGATGCCCAAGGAAGTTGTGAATGCCCCATCCTTGCTTTACAGTGTGAGGAGGAAAGAATCTAATACTTGCTTTTCCCATTTCCTTTTCTCTTCTGAGGTTCCAGCATCCACTGTGGACTACCTGAAGCAAAACGGGATCGATGTGTTGGTGCTGCAAACAGAGAAGGCTGTGGAGCAGTACAACGCCCTGGCTGCACAGGGTGTCAAAGTAGGGGGGGTCTTCCATTCAACCTGCTGACTCCTGGCACCTCCATGACCACACAAATCAGAGGCACATCCCTCCACTGCATCAGATTACAGGCAATGGACTGTGGTGTTCCATGCCAAGGTGTTTGTGCCCTGAGAGTCTGAAATGCAAAGGCAGTTTATTAGATTGAAACAAATCAAGTGCTTCCAAAAGGGGGTTGGTAATGAAATCACTGAATTATAGAACCATTTCCATACATTCTTGAGACTGATCTAACCTGAACACTGTCATATTTTGGTTACTTAGCTCTTCACCTGTTTGCTAAATTAAAATGCTAAGTTTTGAATACTTTCATTAGGAAATGGCCCAAGATTACATTATTGGCTACTGGAATGCAGCTATAGGATAGCTGATGGGTACAACCAAGTGGGTATGAAGGTAAAACTTCATACAACTAAGTTAAAACATAAAGCAAACCCAGAACACACAGCTTTGCCTCCTGCTGGTGACTTCAGTCAGGATGTTGGCTAATTCATAATCATCACGTAATTTAACACTAAGATTTTACATTGAGCTAGAAAAAGGAATAAAAAATAAAGTTTACAGGGAATAAACATCAAATTTGAGCCGTAATCCTCCCAATGATAGGAAGATGCTTTGAGTAGTGCAATACATATCTATTCAGAAGTCCTTATGTGGTTAAAATCACCAGGAAGATTTGTCACAAGAGTTTGCAACCAACAGCAGATGTTGATCTTTAGGCAATCAGCCTACATTGCTGATGTGGGGCTGGATGTGAGGATTCTGACTGGTCATGGTTAGCTGAGGATTTAAACATCGTGCCAACAAGCAGGTTATTCTGCTGCAAGTTTAACAAGTTCTCTTCATTGCTGTTGTTGGTGGGCTTCTATTAATAGACAAGTTCCCTCCTGGAGGTATTTTCCCCACCAGGCTGTGCATATGAAGTCTCTGTTAATGACAGCACAAAGGTGACAGTAATGGCCTGAGGCACTTGGAGCTCTCCCAGCAGTAGCAGAGAGGCTTAGACTGGTATGAGAATGCAAAGACCTTCCCAAGCCCCAAGAATAACCCTTCACAAAATCCTCTGTTCCATTTGTTTGCTCTGGTAATCATTTCAACCCTTTTATCTGCTCCAATACAAAGCAGAGGGAAAGTAAGGGAAAGCTTTTATCTTACAAGCTCCTAATGACAGCAGTATTCTGTTAGTGCAGCTGCATTGGAGGCATCTCACCTAAACCAGCCAGAGCTGCTCTTCCAGCTGCAGCTGCATTCTCTGACACAGCAGCTGGTACAACAGGCATCAGAACTGCTGTGGTATTTGCATAACTTCCATGGGGTGAAATAGGTGAACCACTACCCCGCAGGACTTGCAGGCATCCCAAGGGAATGCCATGGATCACATCCTGCCAATCCGCTCTGTGGGAACACTTTTTGCATTAAATTCTGTTCTCTTCTAGCAGGGGCAGTTTGACTTTTGATTGTGGTGATATATTTGTATTATTTCATGAGCTTTGGGGCCTGAACTCAGAAGAGACTTTGTAAGTCCTGTACTGAGCTGACAGTACCGGTTTTTAAGTACCACAGTATGCACATTACACTGTTAGAGGTTGAGCAAACACCTCATCTTTACCCTCCAGCTCTGGGCTACCCAACACAAGGGCTGGAGCAGCTCTGCTCTGGAGCCAGGCTGAGAGAGCTGGGCTGGGGCAGCCTGGAGAAGAGAAGGCTCCTGAAGGGGAGGCCTTAGAGCAGCTCCAGTGCCTAAAGGGGCTGCAGGAAAGCTGGAGAGGGGCTTGGGACAAGGGCCTGTAGGGACAGGCCAAGGGGAATGGCTTGAACCTGCCCGAGGGGAGACTGAGCTGAGCTCTTAGGCAGAAGCTCTTCCCTGTGAGGGTGCTAAGGCACTGGCACAGGGTGCCCAGAGAAGCTGTGGCTGCCCCATCCCTGGCAGTGCTCAAGGCCAGGTTGGACACAGGGGCTTGGAGCAAGCTGCTCTAGTGGAAGGTGTCTCTGCCCATGGCAGGGGTTGGAACTGAATGAGCTTTGAGGTCCCTTCCAACCCAAACCAGTCTGGATTCTGTGTGTAGTGAGGAAGAACAGATAACATTTTGAAATACAAAGCATGTATTCCAACCCAAACCACTCTGATTCTGTGATTAATGCGACACATTAATGATGAAGCCAAATTCAACAAAACTGCTCAGCCCATGTCCTACACTGAGGAAGATGCTTTGTGCTCCTCCCACCATGTGGAACTCCATGTGTTATCCTTCTAAAACCCCTGAGGGGAGCAGAGCCCATTCAGTGTTTGGGTGACTTTAGGAGCTGTGCCCTACCTGGCTTTGTGCTGCAGCCTCTTACTTGTTCCTTTCATTTGGCAAAAGGTAGGATTCAGGAGCTTGCACTTGCAGAACAGGGAGCTGCAGCGTGCAAAGGAAATGGGTTTCACTTTCTAAAGGCAAACTGCCAGATTTCACTACCCTCAGGACAAGATTTTGGTGTCAAGATGATGTGCTGCAAGTCTTTCCCATCTGGATCTTCTCTTCCTGTGGCAGCATCAGCTCCACCTGGGCTGCCCCAGTTTCTGAAAGCCCAATTTCCTTCTTGGTGCCTTTGCTCCATGGTAGAAACAGCCGGGACTGATTCATCCAGAGATTCCAGCAGCCCTCACTTGGTGTCTTCATTAAATCTCTGCTTTCAGCTACAGCCATAAATAACTGGGTACAGTTAAGGGCTCCCTGGCCCCATGATGGGAATGCACTTTCCCAGGGCAGCGTTTCTCATGCCCACACCCCACTTGGCCTCCCACCTCGAGCCCCATCTCCTGCCTGCAGTGAACCTGTGTGAAAGCAACGCTGGTGCTCGGCCGGGTGCCAGGAAGGTCCCAGCCCTTATCTTGGTGAGGCAGCAGGAGGGAGGCCCTGAAAACACTCCCCTACCCCAAACACACCAACACTGGTGGCTTTAGAGGACTTCAAATGAGCCACATTGAAGCTGTGGCTGCCCCATCCCTGGCAGTGTTCAAGGCCAGGTTGGACACAGGGGCTTGGAGCAAGCTGCTCCAGTGGAAGGGGTCCCTGCCCGTGGCAGGGGTTGGAGCTGGAGGAGCTTTAAGGTCCCTTCCAGCACAAACCATTCCATGATTCCATGTTTACAAATGTGCTCATCCATGCAGCAGGGAAATCAAAGGTAAATGTGAATCTTGGAATGGGTACAGTCGAATGCTATTGAGGAAACGTGTTTGTACGTATTTGACTGGATCCTGACACTGAATTTTAAGATCATCAGAACTACAGAACCCTTTTCTTTCAGTTCAGCTGAGATGATGATGAATATGATCTGCTTGAACAGATGAAACCTAAGAAGAAAGAGACCCTGCCATTTCTTCCATGATTCAAACTAGGGATCAGGTTAAAACTTACAGGATGCTGTCAAGAAGAGAAGCCAACTATGGAATACACGAGGAGATTGGAAATACTCCTATCAGCCTTACAGTTTCAAGTAGTTTTAGGCATTTTGAATTACAGATGAAGAACTTTACTATTGCTCTTCAGTATTTGATTCTCCGCTGGTGGTAATACAGAAGGCGAGTGATCTTTGCCTATTACGATGATGAAAGGAGCTCAAGCACAGCACGGAGGGAGCAGACATAGTCCCAGTGCTCAGGAAGTGGGAGAAAGATGCCAAGATTTTGATACTGAAAATGAAAATGCAAAAGAAAAGGTCCAGACTGGAGCAGCTCTTGGGGCCTGGGAGCAAATCAGAAACCATAACTTACATACCATTAAGCACAAAGCATCAAATTACCTTGAGGAGAAGGAGAGGTTGTGTCAGAGAGCTGGGTAACAGCAGGACCTGGTGGGTTTATCTACAGCACCAAAGCTTCCCTGTGCTGCCCATCAGTACTGCTCTAACCTGACAAGGGCAGCACTTGGGAAGAGGGGCTGTTCCCTCTGCCCCAGCCAAAGCATCAGTTGTGGCCTGAAGCATAGGGACAGCACCTGAATTAGATGTCCTTACTGGGATGACAAACTGAAGTGCCAAATTGAGAGGAGAAAAAGAGTCTGGAATAACACCAGCCATTGGAATAACCTCCTCAGGAAAGAGGTGATGCCCCAGCATTGGACACTGTTAAGACTGGGCTGCACAGGGTGCTGGGACATCATGTCTAGGTCATGCTTTGCCAAGAAAGGTTGGACCAGATCATCCTCGAGGTCCCTTCCAACCTGGAATTCTGTGATTTATGGACCTATGAAGCTGACTGGAGACGGCTTCCTACTGAGATGTACATCAATCTGCTGGGAACTGAACTGAGGATGCCAAGGAGAAGTCAGCTGGTCACAACTCCACTGTGAGACGTGCAAGGTCCTAAAGGTAAAACACCAAAAACCAGTTTGTGAGAGCAGCAGCACTAAAAACTGATACTTAACTTGAGAATACCTGAAGGATTTGAACAGTTCAATGGTTCCGAGTCTCTGGACCACAATACTGCTAGAAGATTAAATCACAGTAACCCTTGAAGTGATCTCCCGTCTTCCTCAGACCTCGCACCGTGTCCACTCATGTAACAAGAAACAGATCAGCCTGAGCTGTCCAGTTTTACTGTAGGGAAGCACAGGAGGGGTCGTTATTCACACTGAGCTCTGGACAACTGGAAACTATTTCCTCACTGCTCTTTACTTGCTAAAAATACCTCTCTCCCCTTCTCTAACAATTGATTTATGAACACAGGTCACATTTGGCTGCTGCACTCTAAGGTTTCACACATCAAGTGCTCCTAGGAAACCCCACCAAAGGATTCCTCCTCATAGGAGCTCCTCAGCCTCCTGAAGCCCTGCACACAGCAGCAATGCACAGACCCACTTTCCAATGGGAATGCCAGAAGGACCACGTTGTTTGTAAGTTCTCACCCCTCCATGCTCCTGGCTCACCTCCTATGGGGAACGCTGACAAGCTGCCTGCTGGTTAACTGAGAGCACGTCCCAGTGCTTTGGCTGATCAGAAAGAGTGCCAAAAGTGAACTGAAAACCTGGATGGGTTTTCTCACCTCAAGTCAGATGGGATCACATCACCCAGAAACAGGCGCTGTGAAGCTTGGTGGGATGGGGTTAGCAATTCTCCAACCCATGGTATTTAATCTCAGTGTTCCTAAAGACACAAAGGTGCAACAGGAGAGCTGGATGATGGACATGAGTGTGTTTGATTCCATTATATCTTACAAAACAAGTAACATACCGTGTGTTGCTGTAACTCAGCCTCCAGGTCCTGCTAACTGAATTCTGCTGCTTGCACCAACAGCTTCCTCCTCCTCCCGCTCGACAGCAGAGCAACCTGTGCCCTCACCAGGACTGCACTTTGCTGCAGAGGAGGTAAAATAGCTCAGGATTTAACCTACATCCATCGGCAGCTTCACTTTAAGGTGCAATTCCTACACCGGAACAACAGCACTTGAGAGTATTTATTTGGCTTTACTACGAACGTAGGTACCAATGCACAAAGGCAAGGTTTAGACACTCAAAAGGAACCCAAACCGACCCAAAAGACCTCACACACACCCACACTGCTCAGCTTTGCTTCTGAGTACTGTAAAAATAACACTGATTCCTGTGCTTCAGCATTTACATGGTAAATACACAGCAGAAAACCTGAAGGCTTGGAGGAGAACCTCCTGATAAGGAAAACTGAAGGTAGGACCCAATTAAATTACTACTGGAATGGTGATTGGGAACTGCCTGGGTTCAATATTGAACTGGCTTGAAGCTGCTCTTCACTGGATGAATAACGCCTGCATTGGGCTGTCTGCTTCCTAACACAGAAGACCAAAGTTCTTCAGCAGCTTTATATCTGTGCTTGACTGTTTGAACCCATTATAGACCAGTTTGGGTTGGGTTCGCTCTTAGAACACATCATATTGCTTTCATGTCAGCCAAAGAGCCCATAAATACGTTTCTCACAGCAACAGGCTTCACCGCCTGGCAGGTTTGGGCATTATGTACACCTTGACAGGCTTGCTGAAGGGGATGGTCCCCTCTATGCCGTTTTCAGATGGTGGCAGAGCCTCCAAGCTCTCGTTCCAGGCAGATTTGGGCATTTTAGCAGCCGCCTTGCTCCGGTTGGAGTTGTAAGCCAGCAGCAACCGCACTTCGATCTGACAGGGCTCTGCAGAGGAAATCAAACAGAACAACCCAAAGATGACTCATGAGGTTCAACCAGGCCAAGGGCAAGGTCCTGCCCCTGGGTCGGGGCAATCCCAGCACAAACACAGGCTGGGGGAGACTGCATGGAGCAGCCTGAGGAGAAGGGCTTGGGGTGCTGGGTGAGGTGAAGCTCCCCATGACCCGGCTTCAGTGAGTGCTTGAGCCCAGAACCCCCCCTGTGTGCTGGGCTGCACCCCCAGAGCGTGAGCAGCAGCTCAGGGAGGGGATCCTGCCCCTCTGCTCCAGGGAGACTCCAGAACTGCAGCAGTGCTCCAGCTGAGACAGCACCAGCACCACACCGAACACAAGGAATAACCTTGTCCCACACTTACCCCACAGCTCAGCCAACACCTCCCCAGGGCTCCCCTTTTCTCCATATCATCAACTCTTATCTGTAGCTTTTAGTCACCTTCTGCTCTTCCCCCATCAGTTAACATGTGCCTTGTAGCTGGGTGTTCTCCTCCCTAAGCACACACTTAGCACTGGCCTTCAACAAGTTCCATTGTCTTGAATGAAGGCAATTTGTCCATTTTGAATTGTGACCCTGCTTGTGTCCTCCCCACATTTCATACACCCAAGTGCCAGTGTCAGCGTTAATGGTTAAAGTAATGGCATGGGGAGACACCAGAAGAGAATCATAGAATGGTTTGGGTTGGAAGGGACCTTAGAGCTCATCCAGTTCCAACCCCCTGCCATGGGCAAGGACACCTTCCACTAGAGCAGCTCTCTATAGATCTTCTGATCATCCCTTAGGACCATACTTAAAACACTCTTAGAGTGAAATAAAGACTTGATGTCGCTCCCCCTGCTACCTTTAAATCCAGATCCTTCCAGTCCTAGAAACAATACTGGTTTTTTCCTCTCCAAACCAAGCTAGCAGGATGAACGAGTACACCAGGGAAGTGCTATATAAAAAGGAGCATGTGAAAGAACACAGCACTAAAGAAAACTCTGTTGGTTAAAACCCCATCACCAAACCTTATTTATAACAGCTCAGAAAATAAACTGCTCAAATAAAACCCACATTTGAATAAACGTGAAGGGATTCAAAAGGAAACGGGACAAAGGGAGCTGTGAACAAATCCTCTGCTTTTGTTGTTTGAAGTCCACAAGCCAATTACTGAAGCACTTCCATGGGGACGTGCGGATGCCAACAGAGACTGAGTGGGAATGCTGGAGGATTTCATCCAGGCTAAAGGGTGGGGGGTTTTAGGGCATTATTAAAAGGGTGAAAGTTGCATCAGTGCTGGAACTGTGCTGTTGGGTACCCACAGTTCCAAAGGTTCCTGCCATGCTCCATTACCTATCAGCTCTAAGCCAGTGAATCACAGTGAGTCAGCTTACCCTGACTCCCTGCCCCTAACTGAGGCTGCAGAGCTGACTCCTACAACTGATCTTGCTCTGCATGGAGATGGGTGATGTTCTCTCCTGGTTTCAGCTGGGATGGAGTTGATTTTCTTCCCTATACACATGCTCCCCAGCTTGTGGCAAGCAGCTTCTCTCCCACAAGAGCAGCCCCTCCAGTCACCTATGGAGCAGCAATGCCTGCCAACCAGGGGAGACAGATACTGCTCAAAGGCTGCAAGAACAAAGTCTGAGCAACTAAGGGCAGCACCACCAACAGCTTTAGGCTCCAGGATCCCAAAAATCCTTTGGTGAGGCACTGGACCAGGCTGCCCAAGGACGCTGTGAATGCTCCATCCTTCCCAGTGATCAAGGCCAGGTTGGACACAGGGGCTTGGAGCAAGCTGCTCTAGTGGAAGGTGTCCCTGCCCATGGCAGGGGCTGGAATTGGATGAGCTTTAAGGTCCCTTCCAGCCCAAACCATTCTATGGATCCTACATCCCCAAGACTGTGGGCATGCACATCTATGAGCAGGAGACTGGGATCAAGCCAGACACGCTGTTATCTTAGAGAAGCACAGCAACACAATCACATGAACTTCCATCACCATCGTTACCTGTCCAGGCTGTGTGTGAGAGGTAAACCTGAGTTATCAGTCTGTGCCTTCCCGGACCGGGATTTCGGAAGTCTGCTGGTTTAGGATGGATGAGCTGTGCTTGTCCATCTGGATACAATACCTAGAGAGAAAAAGAAGGAAACAACTGAATGGCAACTGGGCTGGGGATGTGCAGAGTGAGAGCTGTGCTGGTGGGTTCCGTCTGAGTTTGGAAGGTAAGGAGGTGAGCTTCAGCTTGGAGAGCCAAGAATCCAGACCATCCAGACCCATAGCACAGGTGGACATAAGCCATCCACTGACACCAGCTCTTCCTCTGCATTGTCAACAGAGGTTTTAGTTTCTGCCATCAGTGAATTCATGCAGTTTACTTGGCATCGCACCACCCTCACCTCCCCACCTGCGTTTGAAACCAGTGGTTCAGTAAAGTTAAGTTGGAAATACAGAGCCTGCATAGAATCACTGCCTGGTGTGGGTTGGAAGGAACCTTAAAGCTCATCCAGCTCCAACCCCCTGCCACAGGCAGGGACACCTTCCACTAGAGCAGCTTGCTCCAAGCCCCTGTGTCCAACCTGGCCTTGAACACTTCCATATCCCTGTACCATTCACAACAGCTCCTCTTGCTCCTCCTCTTCCCACTCCTCACACTGGAAGTACAGCACGCTGTCCATATGGACATGAGCAACATGCTCATGTCCATACCATGCTCCATGCATGGGGAAGCACAGTGTGGAGCACAGACCATCAAGGTGCTCAAAGCAAACCCTCAGGAGCTGCACACTCAAACCAAACTCAACCCAGAGCACTATACACCACACAGACCACTTTCTCAGTGTGGGGCCAAACCCCAGAAATCCAGCCTTCTTACTAATATCAGTACATGTAGAAGTACTGACATCAAAGTGTCCCTAAGGCACAGTCATGTTTGGATCTATGTCAAGCAACTGCTTACCTGAACTTTAACACTTCCCTGGGGATCCTGCACATGTTCCAGAGTTGCATCAACATCCAGAGCCACCACCAGCCCCGAGGTGAACCTCAGGGGGTTGTCAGACTCACCAGTGGGCTCGATGATGTTCGCAGTAGCTCTGTGGAGCTGTTGGGATGAAAGGGGTTGACAAAAGTAAGGAGGTGAAGGGAGGAGGGAAGAGAAAAGAACGCAATCGCTGCTGTTCTTCATGGAGAAGTTGTGGGTTGGAACTGGATGAACTTAAGGTCCTTTCCAACCCAAATCATTCTAGGATTCTATGAACTTTGGACTCTTTTAGATAGTGCCAGGAATGAAGTCTTCTCTATATTTAGCAGTAGCCCTGGGGATGGTAGGTAAGAAGAAGAAAGCCACTGAAGATAGACTGACCAAGAACCTGAACTCTAAAAGCTTCATGGTATGTTAGGAAGTAATCAGATGCAAAGACAGTCCACAAGGATAATGCATCTAATCCTCTGTGTTGCTCTGACCTGCTCTGGAAGAGGAAGGTGGAGGAAGGTACTTTGTCGCAGCGTTGTCTGAAGGATCTTGACCACTTCTGAAGGTTTGGATGTCACAAGCCGGGGCATTAAGTCCAGCAGTTTATCTACAAAACTGCCCTGCATGTGTGGGAGCTCAGAGATGAAACACCTGTGTTCAGAATAAAGGAAAACCACACACTTCCTTCAGCATTACTCATTAAATACATTATGTTATTCAACGTGACGCAATGGTTATTTCCAGCCAAGCTACTTATAGAACCATGGAGTGCTTTAAGGGCCCTTCCAACCCAAAGCTCCTCCAGCTCCGACCCCTGCCACGGGCAGGGACACCTTCCACTGGAGCAGCTTGCTCTGAGTCCCTGTGGCCAACCTGGCCTTGAACACTGCCAGGGATGGGGCAGCCACAGCTTCTCTGGGCACCCTGTGCCAGCGCCTCAGCACCCTCACAGGGAAGAGCTTCTGCCTTATCTCCAACCTGAACTTCCCCTGTTTCAGTTTGAACCCATCACCCCTTGTCCTATCACCGCAGTCCCTAATGAAGAGTCCCTCCCCAGCATCCTTGTAGGCCCCTTCAGACACTGGAAGCTGCTCTGAGGTCTCCACGCAGCTTCTCTTCTCCAGGCTGAGCAGCCCCAATGAGATGATTTTTTGGTCCTTTCCAACCCAAACCGTTCTATTATCCAGACTGTGGAACTCATCACTGCCAGTGGGATTTCCTGAGAAACAAGGATGAATTTTGGTGATCCTGAGACTCGGCGCAAGGAAGAGACACAAAGCAAATGAGCAGTTCTGTTCACCAGCTACTCAGTGTGCTGAGCATTAGGGAATGGTAGATTTCGTTCCCTTCTTTCATCACTTAACCAGCTACAACTGCAAAGCAGATCATGAATAAACAGGAATTGAATCAGAACTAGAGATGGAATTCTGCTCCGGCAACTCTGGATACCTGCATCTCCAGGTTATCTATCCAATTCCCCTCCAGGTCAATGGAAAAACACTGGGCATCCCTTTTTGGCCTATTTTAGCCATCTCAATTAGGAATAGAATGATAGAAGCACCTTTCCAGTGAGAGGAGAGCTGAGTGAGCACTTCAGAAGTAGTGGTCATTCAACATCAATGTCTGGGCGAGATGCCTCCCACCCTGAGCATGTAGATGGTTCATTCACAATTCAGAAACTTGTGATAAAGGGATATTCCTTCCAAAGAAAGCTCTTCCATTGATCCCATGTTTAAAAGGGGGTTTTCTTCTTGCTTAAGCACTAGCTCATGATAGCAGTCCCCGAGGTAGGAGAGCAAAAGGGGAAGGGAGACACAGAGATGAAAACCAAATGGGATATTCCCCAGTGACAATCGTGGGGGGAACTCTGTAGCCTACAATGAAGGAGCAATGAAGTTTCTCACCTCTGAAAGGAATCCACTTCTTGCAGGAACTTCTCACACATCCCAAATAGGGGCTCCACTCTGTAATGAGGAGAACATTCCTTGCCTTAGTTTTAACCAAAGGAAATGGGCTTTGGGGCACATTTTGGTGTGCTGGGATCCAGTTCAAGCTCCTATGAACTTACAATGTGGAGGCCAGAACAGTGTTCCCCATGAGAGAAGGAAACAAGTTGCCATCTCCCTCCCCAGATTCATATCCCCTGCCCACAGCCATCTGCATAAGACACTAAGTAAGTTCCCAAGGCCTCTGTTAGAAAACTATTGACTTTCTGCCTACAAAACAAGAGGTTAAAAGGCAAATACACAACAGAGCTCCACGGTAACACAATAAACTGATAGCATCAAACTTGAAACTGAAGGAATTGGGTATATTAACCCACTTTGCTCTAATTCCCCCTAATTCTAACCCACCCAACCCCATTCATTGACCTCAGCAGCCAAAATGAGCCACATGAAGCCTCCAAAACTTGCTACAACTCAACAAGTAATTCTTAATGAAGCCAACACTAGTGCATTCTTTAATACATGACTTAAATACAGCCCAAATATCAACTCTACAACATTTTTAACCTATTTTTATGTTCAGAACGAAAAGAACTCAACCCCAAAAACACATCCTCCTCATATATTTGTCATCTACTACAGTATCAGTTATGAGTATTTATAATACTTATTTAAATAGTATTTCTACTGTAGATATAAAGGCAAAAGGCAGCTCTGGATTCTTTTAGCTAATGGATAGTGGCATGTTGTGATGTTTTAGGTGCCCACTTTATCCTTGCTGGGTGATAACCAAAGCTTAAGGAAACTGAGCTTAGAGTTAACCCCATGAAGACCCTTTCCCCAGGTCCTCCTTACCCTCTGGTGGTCCGGGCAGTCACTATCAGCTGTAAGGCCTTTGCCTGCAGCCTCATGTGGTGAATGATGACCACTTGTCTGCTTTCCACCCCGCTGTACATGAACTCCATCTTGTATGTTTCTTCCAAGATCTGTCAAAGGGGCAGCACAAGGGTAAGAAACCACGAGGCTCTGTTAAAGTGCTGCACACAGCAGGTTTGTGATGGCACTGAGCTGTGCAGTGCGGTCAATACGATGGAGGAAGGGATGCGATCCAGAGGGACACGGACAGGCTGGAGAGGTGGGACCATGTGAACCTCATGGAGTTCAGCAAGGTCCTGCCCCTGGGTTGGGGCAATCCCAGCACAAACACAGGCTGGGGGAGACTGAATGGAGCAGCCTGAGGAGAAGGACTTGGGGTGTTGGGTGAGGAGCAGCTCCCCATGACCCGGCTTCAGTGAGCGCTTGAGCCCAGAACCCCCCCCGCGTGCTGGGCTGCACCCCCAGAGCGTGAGCACCCCCAGACCCAGCTGGTTCCACCTCACCTGCTTTGCTGCAGCAGATGCCAACGCGTTCTGCTTCAGGTACAGAGGAGCTGCCACGTTCCACAGCTTCTCCTGCAGGGCCTGCACAAGAAACACCAAGAACTGATGGTAAATGCCAAGTTCAGACTGAATATCCTAACATTGGGCTAGATGGGCTCGGGAGCAGGGAAGATGCTCTGTCTCACTGCTGTACACCAGCAGGTTGATTAAAAAAGAGCCAAAGATTCATTTTGTTCTTTTAAATATAACACAGGGAACCAAGGCCTCCAAGTTACATATTCTTGCTGTAAACAGCAGATGATTTTTTTGCTTCACTTAGAATCATAGAACAGTCAGGGTTGGAAGAGACCTTAAGATCATCCAGTTCCAACCCCCTGCCATGGGCAGGGACACCTCACACTAAACCATGGCACCCAAGGCTCTGTCCAACCTGGCCTTGAACACTGCCAGGGATGGAGCATTCACAGCTTCCCTGGGCAACCCATTCCAGTGCCTCAGCACCCTCACAGTAAAGAACTTCTTCCTTATCTCCAATCTAAACTTCCCCTGTTTCAGTTTGAACCCATCACCCCTTGTCCTATCACTACAGTCCCTAACTGACGCTGGCACAGGGTGCCCAGAGAAGCTGTGGCTGCCCCATCCCTGGCAGTGTTCAAGGCCAGGTTGGACACAGGGGCTTGGAGCAAGCTGCTCTAGTGGAAGGGGTCCCTGCCAATCCAAACCGTTCTGTGGTTCTGTAACTAGCCAGGTTACTGCATAAATGATGTGCCAGAGGAGGGAATCAGGATGATCAGAACACCAGGAAAACTGCTCTTTCATCATCCAGCAGTTTTCAGCACCACATGGAAGTGCACAGCTGTGATGAGGGCATTTCCAAAGAGCAGCCCAACAAACCCCAGGCGAAGCCAGACCTTGATGAGGAGGAGCTGACACTGAAGGTAAGTCGCAGTGAAGTCTGCCATCCCTGCCAGCTCTGACTGCAGCTCTCCAAGCCTCTGAAGATCACTGAAGCATGTGGAAAAGAAAGAAAAAGCCATTAAGACAGCAAGAACATTAACCTAAATGCACTCAGAATGCAGCAACAATGAGGCCATTTCTGCATCCTGCTTTTATCCTTAGAATAAGCACCAGAAACAGCAGCAAAACCCTCACTGCAACACAGTCTACACCTTGGGCCTTGGCCTGTCCTCTCTTCTTGGACACCAGCACAGCAGTGGTGTGTCACTGTCAACCCACATTACTGACAGCCCTATGGGAACCATACAGCACAGTGGTTCCAGCTTGAGCTTAAAGCACTCCAGACTTGTACAGCAGCTAATGACCCATTTCTGTTACTCTGCTGGCACATCTCCTCATGTGGGCTGGGATAAAGTGTTTGGAATGTGTCAGGCTCACCCAACCAAGGGAATCTGCAGTATAGCTGCCTTTTAAACCAAGCTGCATCCCAACATAATGATATCTCTCCAACTTGCTGTTGTGTGTTGTGTGGTGTAAGCATCTCCTGTAAACCAGAAGTAGCTTTTTAACCTGATTGAATGAAAAATGACAGGTAATGGAATGCAAAAGGCTTCAGTTCTCTACCCTTAGACACATTTTAAACTCAAAAGCGTGTATTTGAGACCCCACTTGCAGCACTGTGCAGTTCAGGTGTCCTCAACATAAGAAGGACATGGAGCTGTTGGAGCAAGACCAGAGGAGGCCACAAGGATGCTCAGGGGCTGGAGCAGCTCCTGTATGATGACAGGCTGAGAACACTGGGGCTGTTGAGCCTGAGGAAGAGAAGCTGCATGGAGAGCTCACAGCAGCCTTCCAGTGTCTGAAGGGGGCTACAAGGATGCTGGGGAGGGACTCTTCATTAAGGACTGTAGTGACAGGACAAGGGGTGATGGGTTCGAACTGAAACAGGGGAAGTTTAGATTGGATATAAGGAAGAAGATCTTTACTGTGAAGGTGCTGAGGCAGCAAGCTATGAGATTATCTGTATAATTTGCAGCTAAAGGAAACCTCAGCAGGGAGGGTTTGTGCCTTCCTTCAGTGCAACAGCAGCAAAGCCAGCCTGAGCCTTACATAGTGACTCCATCCCAGAGGGAAGAGGAGACTCCTAGGTGCTTACTTCCCATGTCCTACTTAATGCCTTACAACACACCAACAGGGATGTCACCTCTTAGCTAACAACCAGGCAGATATTCTATTTCCCACTCTTCTGCTGTTCCCAATTCCACCATTTCCTTACAAATCTCACACAGATTCCAACATCCCAGCAAGACAGAAAAGACCCTGTTGTGTGGATGGAGGAACTAAAGCACAAGGAGTGATTTGCTCAGAAGCATGCCTTACAGCTTCAGAGGCTGGGGGATGAGTGTCAGCCTTCAGTGTGGTCCCAAGTAGACCCCAGCTCCATGACACTAATGCTAAAGGAGGAGGGATGTCCCATCAGAGAATCCACTGCTATGAGCTGCTTCCATCCATTTCCAATTGGTGGGGCAGTAAACTCTTGCCCTCTGCAAAATAATCTTTAACACTTTGGTTTGGTCTTAAATCCCCCTTTCTCTTAAGCTGGCTCCTGGGTGGTGATCCCAGCAGGAAATAAGCCAAGGCAATGATTTCCATTGGCTCCAAAGCATCACTGGCCTTTACTGCATGCAAGTTACACATGAACCATCTCCAACATCATTGCTACACACTCACAGTCTGTGAGGTTTCCAGGCCCCCAACATGCCTGTAGGACCAGGATGCTCTGCCAAGAGATGACCTTATCTAGGTGTTCCTGCTCCGGCAGGGGGATTGGACTAGATGATCTTTTGAGGTCCCTTCCAATCTCTAGCATACTGTGATACTGTGACCTGTTTTAAGCATTTAGTGCATTAAATGCTTTGAGGTTGTGTTTTAGGTTGTTTCAGCTTCAAAACAGCTGAAGACACAACCAGGTAGTGCTCACAGTTAGGTTCTGAGTGAGGAGGAACTGTTTATTCTCCACTGCAGGTGGGTGTCAAAGCAATTCACAGCTACACGTGCAGAAGAGGCAGCTGTCTGGGAGGGAATGAAAGAGAATAAAGCTCTTTGGAATGCCATATTCCAAACAAAGGATTTAAATTGTTTTTCTGCCCCTCAAAATAAAGCTCTTCTCCTCTTTGCAACCAGGGGAACTGCATCAAAAGGAACCTTTTCAAGTGTTTTGTTTGTCTGAATCAGTCTAGAGATGAAACAGAAGAGGCAGCATGAGATCCACCTTCTGAAGCCACGCTGCAGACTCTAATGACATAACAGCAGAGAGCAACACACAGGAACATTGCTCCAGGAAAATCTCTGATCTTCAAACTGATGGAGAATGACAAAGCCCTCTGTAAGTGGTAATGAAGAACCCCACAAAGCACCAGAAGCACATCCTCTCCTGCTGAATGAAAGGCCACATGGAAAATGGAAGAGGAAAGGGGATAATGTCTCCCCCTCCCCAAAATCAAACCCCTTTGTTCATGTATGTTACAATTACTACAGTCCAAATGAGGGACTCCTATAGGGACAGAGCCCTAGGAATGACACACAAACTGTCACCCATCAACCAGAAAAGCCTAGAGTGTATTTTACCACAGCAACAGCCCAAGAAGAGCTTTCTTCTTCCTCTTAGAATCATAGAATAGTTAGGGTTGGAAAGGACCTTAAGATCATCCAGTTCCAACCCCCTGCCATGGGCAGGGGCACCTCGCTCTAAACCATATTACCCAAGGCCTCATCCAACCTGGCCTTGAACACTGCCAGGGATGAAGCATTCACAACCTCCTTGGGCAACCCATTCCAGTGCCTCAGCACCCTAACAGGAAAGAATTTCCTCCTTATATCCAATCTAAACTTCCCCTGTTTCAGTTTGAACCCATCACCCCTTGTCCTACCACTACAGTCCCTAATGAAGAGTCCCTCCCCAGCATCCCTATATGCCCCCTTCAGATACTGGAAGGCTGCTATGAGGCCTAACCATGCTCCATGGTGCGATGCTACCATGCTCCAACCATGCTGCTATGAGCTCTTACCATGCTCCAAAATGCTGTCCCCCCAAAATGCACATTGATTGTTCAGTGAAGGCCAGCCAGACCTGAGACCATCAGTTCTACCTTACACAGACCATCAGTGTTGTGTTATCACGATGCTCTCCAGAGGAAGGCTCAGGTTAAGTGCTCAATGGCAAATTACAACCCCAATACTCAGAAGTAAAGCAGCTGCCACTGAGAAATTGGGAATCCTGAACAAGTCTCCATACACAGGTGAGCTTCCAGCCTTACCGGATGGTGAATTCCAGCAGCTCCTGGATGCCCTGTGGGTCGAGGTGCTGAAGGTTGTAAACCCTCTCCAGGCTCTGATGTAAGAACTGCTGGGAAGGATCTTCATGGGGTGTAATGCTGGGAGAGACAGGGGAGGACACCAGCTTCCTGCCTGGCAACTGAACAAGAACAAACACATGCAAACAAAGGGTAACGAAGGCAAAAAGTCCAACACAAGCAGAATAGATGGTGATGGGCATAGGTTGGTCCTGGGGAGATTCCAGTGGGACACGAGAGGGAAATTTTTCCCATTGAGAACAATTAGCCATTGGAATAACCTCCCCAGGGAACTGGTGGAGCCCCAGCACTAGACACTGTTAAGATAGGGCTGGACAGGGTTCTGGGCATCTAGTCTAGGCCATGCTTTGCCAAGAAAGGTTGGACCAGATGATCCCTGAGGTTCTTTCCAACCTGGGAATCTGTGATTCCATGATTCTATGAAGTAACAACAGTGCAAAACACTGTCACATTATTTAACAACTTACAACTGAGAGCTCCAGGTCATTTCTCAAACCCAGTCTGTATGAAGGATTTAGAGCCTGCATCTCAGTTAATATTCCCCATGTGTAATCCACTTGCAGCTGGAGAGCTTCAGGTTAAACTTCTACAGCCCTTTGAGGGAAACATCTCCCTCACCTGGTAACTCTGACACTGAGAAGTCAAGGGAAGCCCAAGACCACACAAACTGCCACTGATTTTATCAGCTGCTGTAAGACTTAAAACCAACTTCAGTCCCACCTGTACTTCCATGAAGGAAACATACTTTAAAGCAAAAGGGAATACATCTCACTCGTGAGCATGAGCAGGGGCTATGGCACTTCCCATATGAAGACAGGCTGAGAACATTGGGGCTGTCCAGCCTGGAGAAGAGAAGCTGCATGGAGACCTCAGAGCAGCTTCCAGTGTCTGAAGGGGGCCTATAGGGACACTGGGGAGGGACTCTTCATTAGGGACTGTAGTGACAGGACAAGGGGTGATGGGTTCAAACTGAAACAGGGGAAGTTTAGATTGGATGTAAGGAAGAAGTTCTTTACTGGTTGTGAGGCACTGGAATGGGTTGCCCAGGGAGGTTGCGAATGCTCCATCACTGGCAGTGTTCAAGGCTAGGTTGGACACAGGGGCTTGGAGCAAGTTGCTCCAGTGGAAGGTGTCCCTGCCTGTGGCAGGGGTTGGAACTGGATGAGCTTTAAGGTCCCTTCCAACCCAAACCAGTCTGGGATTCTATGACAGACATGGAAGACACCAGCAACAGTCATAGCAGAGGTTATGAATAAACCAAACCAAAGTGGTCCAACTTACTCTTAAGGGAGGGACCAGATGAGAGAGGCTGTCCCGCAGATAGGCATAATGTCTGAACGTGTGATCAGAGAACAGGGCAGGCATCGTCGGGCAGCTTTTAGCAGCATTGAAAATCAGAACCAGAACAGCAATGTCTATTGAAATGGAGTGTTAAAGAAAACAAACCAACAGCAAGAAACCCCAAAACCCCAAAGCATTCTATGATGCTATGAAGAGCAGCTCCTTGGGGATGGCAAGTTAAAACAACAGCTCAACAACCCTTTTTTTTCTGCTTGAGATTTGCTTGGGAATGATCTGCTCATTCTTTACAGCTTTGGAATGCAAAACCCAGAGGCGGGTGTCTGAGTGGAGGAAAACCAAGGACAAAGCACAAACATTACAGGATGGGCCATACTGGAAGAAGGATTTTAGTGCTGAATGTGGGATGGCTCAGAGGTAACACAATGGACAGAAGCCAGGAAGTACAAATGTAGAACAGGCTCATCAGGTGGAGTTTCACTCCTCCTCATCCTCAAAGCTTACTCTGGGCTTACCAGTGTGATACTCAAACACCATCTAAAACTGAACATCTGCCTTCAGAAATTGAGACCCCCCCCACCCTGCAGCCCTGATCCAGCTCTGGGGCAGCAGCACAAGAGGGACGTGGAGCTGTTGGAGCGAGGCCAGAGGAGGCCATGGAGCTGCTGCGAGGGCTGGAGCAGCTCTGCTCTGGAGCCAGGCTGAGAGAGCTGGGCTGGGGCAGCCTGGAGAAGAGAAGGCTCCTGAAGGGGAGACCTGAGAGCAGCTCCAGTGCCTAAAGGGGCTGCAGGAAAGCTGGAGAGGGGCTTGGGACAAGGGCCTGTAGGGACAGGCCAAGGGGAATGGCTTGAACCTGCCCGAGGGGAGACTGAGCTGAGCTCTTAGGCAGAAGCTCTTCCCTGTGAGGGTGCTGAGGCGCTGGCACAGGGTGCCCAGAGAAGCTGTGGCTGCCCCATCCCTGGCAGTGTTCAAGGCCAGGTTGGACACAGGGGCTTGGAGCAAGCTGCTCCAGTGGAAGGGGTCCCTGCCCATGGCAGGGGTTGGAGCTGGATGAGCTTTAAGGTCCCTTCCAACCCAAACCACTCTGGGATTCTGTGATTCTAAGAAAACTGCTGCATTTCCTATGATGCCCCAAATCCCATCCCTCTTATACAGACCTAAACCAAACCAAAGAATCAAGCATGGGAAAATGACTGAAATAGGAAAACATTTTCACAGCCTGAGAAATAGTGGCCAACTGAGAGCTTCACTCAGTTAACCCAAAGGCACTTGCCTGTACATGGTTGACCCCAGTTGTAAGATCTCTATCAGGAGAGTGCAAAAGCATCCCAATACAAATCTTACGATCATCTGAGCACTTGCATACATGAGGAAGAAGTAGGTTCAACCCAAGAAGGGACTGAACCCTTATCTCTCTCCTCCTTTAAAACCTTCTGCAGCCATGGGCTGCCAAGCACAATGGTTTCCATTTAACAAACCAGTATCTCCTCTTTACCCAAAATCTTCTCCAAATTAGCTATTGAACAAACCTGGTTCAAGTTTCCTGAGTGCTTTGTATCAAAGAAAACCGCATTTTCCATTAACAGCTTACACTGGAAAAACACCATCCAGGTCTAACTTGTAGTTTCTGGCTCCCAGGCCTGCCTTCATGTAACACATCTCCATAAGATGTGGTGGCAATTCACCTCCAGAATGTTCTCTGCTATAACACTCTTATATTCAGGGCAGGAAGGTGCATTGAGCTAAACGACAGCTTCCCCCCACCACAATGTTCCTTCAATTCCCAACTCAGGACCAACTGACTCAAATTATCACTCAGCCATCAGCTTAATCTTTCTCTCCACCCAATTCCAGCCCTTTTCACTTGTCACAAGGTATCTGTTTAATCTGCACAGAGTTTGGAGCTGATGCCTTGGGTCTGGCGAGAGAAACAAGGAGGAGGTTCATAAAGGGAGAGACTTGTTGCAGTTGAACACGTCTCAGCACCCATCAGAAATAACATCGCGTTCTGCAGTGGCACAGAGGGAAGCAAAGGGAAGGAACAATGGGGAAAAAATGGCATTTTGCATTTCCAAGGCATCTCCTATTGTTAAGGATAACAGTATAACAATAACAGTTTGTAATCTAAGGCATGAGAAGGGCTAATGTTAACAGGAGGAGTTCTGATTTTACATTATGTCAAAAAGATGCTGAATTTGCAGCACGATGGGGACTCGGCCACTGCTGTACTAAGAGGTGGTGCTGCTCTACACACAGCACAACAGTGAGCACAGCACAGGTTTTACCTATAAAGAAAGCAGGGAAGGAAACTCACTCTTATTTAAGAGCTAAAGCACTTTGAAAACTAATGCAAACCAGTTTGCACATCAAAGGACTCATCTGCAAAGCCTCAACCGTAACAAGTTGCCTGATAAATACTATTCATCCCAGCATCAAGAAGAGGGGCAATTTTATACCACATTGGGACTGATGAAGATGGTTCCAGACAACAGTTATTCCATCACTTGCTGAGTAGTAAGACTTAAGTGGCAAAGGGATTCAGAAATAGCTACAGGACTGTCTGCTATAACTGGAAATCACTTAAATGTGAACCTCAGGAATGTATGAATTCAATCTGTTCCAGGCTAAATGATCAACTGGCTTCATGAAAAAGATACAGGCTGGGTCATCCATGTCTGGTTCTGGAGTGTCAAAGAATGGATGTGTGCTCAGCAGCTCCGGGACTAAGGGAAGCACCAAAGTGGGATGCCTGCTCCCCAGGAACTTCAAGCATCTGGAAACACACAGATCAAAGTACCTCTTAGTTAATATGCACATGGCAAAATACAACATTTTAAAGCATCATTATGCTGCAGCAGCACTTTCAGCATTAAAATCCTAGTGTCCAAGCCTGTCTCTTCACAGCTGAGTATGTGCATTAGCATTTGATAGGATCCAAGAAAACTGAGGGGACAGCTTGAAAAAGCAAGAAGTAATAAAATGGTTTATTGAAACTGTCCAGAAATGCTGAATACCTGGAGCTCTACAACCAAAGAAAAGCTTTCAGACTAACACTGACAAATGAATGTGTTTTATTCATCAGAAATAAAGGAGGAGGTGAAAACCCACCCAAATAAACCCCCAAACTCCAAAATCAATGTCAGAGTACACTGAAAGACAAAGCAGACTAAAATAAGTGTTTCCAATAATACCCAAGAATTCCATCTGAAACCATCTGTGCTGGAGCATCACTTCCTTTGTTGCTCCCATTTAACGACCTCAGACGGAAAATGTCCCCCTAACAGCAGAATGCCACAACCCATCCATTTGTCCCAAGGGATATAACCAGCTCCTGCTAAATACTGCTATTTAATGCAGTGTCAAGTAAGCACAAAACACGAGTTGCATAAAAGAGATGAGGTTTTAAACTGAAGGTTGAATTCATCTTGCCTGGACTACAACAGGACTATTCACCTGCAATACCTGCTACCTCCTTGGCTAGCTCAGTATTTGCCTAAGCCCTTGATTACTAAGAATAGGAAAAGAAGGACACTGAACACACTCACTTCCATATGGATTCTCTGTCGGTGGGATACTTGGTCAGGTTTTTCAGCAGCTCCACCAGTGCCAGATGGATGCCTTCCTTAGTGGAGACGTTGGTGCAACACAGCAGTTCATGAAGTGCTTCCCGAATATCCCTTGAAGAATCCTGAAAAACCCAAACAAATCCCAACCCAGTCACCTCTGAGTGCTGAGATGTACCCATAGACACGTTTCCTTTAGAGACAGCAGCTCCTGCTCCTTGCCTGATTTAGTATTAGAGGCATCTGAAGAACACCACACATTTCTAGTTATCACAGCTAAGCTCAGACGCAGCAACTGCCGCAGGGTCTCCTGCTGGTCTCATCCATGCTGTGCTGCATTTACTGGAGTGAATGGGCACTGCTTCACTACTGACCTTCTCAACCAGAATAGGAATCACTGCTTTGTTTGGGTTATGTACCCTCATGAACAGGCAGTAACGGAAAAAGAAGATGCTGGGTAACTCAGCAAAACCCAGGCTGGGGGAGATGGAATGGAGCAGCCAGAGGAGAAGGACTTGGGGTGCTGGGTGAGGAGAAGCTCCCCATGACCCAGCTTCAGTGAGTGCTTGAGCCCAGAATCCCCCATGTGCTGGGCTGCACCCCCAGAGTGTGAGCAGCAGCTCAGGGAGGGGATCCTGCCCCTCTGCTGTGTGAAGGGGAGACTCCCCCTGCAGCCCTGATCCAGCTCTGGTGCAGCAGCACAAGAGGGACGTGGAGCTGTTGGAGCGAGGCCAGAGGAGGCCATGGAGCTGCTGCGAGGGCTGGAGCAGCTCTGCTCTGGAGCCAGGCTGAGAGAGCTGGGCTGGGGCAGCCTGGACAAGAGAAGGCTCTGGAGAAGTCTTCAAGCAAGCTGCTCCAGTGGAAGGTGCCCCTGCCCGTGGCAGGGGTTGGACCTGGATGAGCTTTAAGGTCCCTTCCAACAAAACCCGTCCTGGGATTCTATGGAAACACACCAAAGACTGCTTTATTGCCTCTGGAGAAGCCTTTTACCATTCAATACATGAAGCTCAGTTCCAGCTTTAAACAGGTTAAAGTTCCAGCAGCCTTTAACCCAGTCACCAGCTTCCAGGGGGTTTGAATAAGCACTGAGGACACATCAATGGCTGTGCAGCTAGGTTAACAGTGATCATCTATAGGATAAAGAACTTGACCTAACTATGGGTTTACAGATGGACAATAAAACAAACCAACCAACCCCCAAACCCACACTTGTCACTTTGGTCAGGAGCCTTTCTATGATCACACAGATCCCTAAGATGCCACTTTTAAAGTCACACTGTGCCCATGTTATTTTTCAGGCCAGGGTGACGCTGCACAGAGGAGCTTGTTCAAGCTCCAAGTAGTATTTTTAGAAGCCCTGTGGCTGAACTCCAGCTTAATGACATTCCTCCTGCCAAACCCCACCTTGCCATTCCCTATCAGTGCATTACACTCCCTTGCTATCAGCATTTGCGTGGCACCGCTGGGTAGGATGTGAAAAGTTGATAGGATACAAGAACTGGATGGGTTTCAAGAGTGCTTTTAAGTTATACTTCGCTAGTATCAACAGCTCATTCATCACTGTCTGACACAAAAGAATAAAGAGGAGACGTTGTAGAAGCTCTTAAATGACACCAACACACACAAATGATCCAAGGAGGAAAGCTCAGCAGGACCCACTCCTTATTCTAGTGGTGGTGGGAGGCAGACTATGATCAGAGGGGAAGATGGACTGCAAGGAGTACAATTAAATGACTATGGACATAAAGGACTCCAGGTGAGTGGCACAGAACACTGGAAGGGGAGAACAGAGAGAAGCACAAGACTATGAAGGGACAGAGAGGAGCACAACTCAACAACAACTGAGATCAAGGGCAACAGGAAAAACAAGATCTAAAGCCTGGTCTGAAAAGCAAGGAGGAAATGGTAGTTAAACAGGTGAATTTAAAACAGTGGGGTAAAAAACAGGAGCTACCCCGAGGCCCAACTGTTCCATCTTTACACTGCTAGAAGAAATTTAGGCACTCAAGTTAATGCCATTTTCCCACATCCTTTATTTTGGTGCTGGAAGATGGATTTTACAGTTGGAAAACACCTTTCAGACAAAGCTATTCAAATGTTAACTCTCACAGTTCAGGTATCCCAATACCTGCTAATAATAATATAGAACATAAAACAGGTATGATTTATCACAGCACAGAAGCTTAAGACAGACCCCAGTCTAACTGGGACATTATTATACCTTGATGCACAGGTCCCCAGCTGGAACAAACATAAATCACCTACATAAAAACGTGAGGAACCCAAAGCTCATTCAGATCATGTTCCACAGCCTTTGTTAAAGCCTGCTAAGAGATCATAGAATCATAGAATAGTTAGGGTTGGAAAGGACCTTAAGATCATCCAGTTCCAACCCCCTGCCATGGGCAGGGACACCTCACACTAAACCATATCACCCAAGGCTCTGTCCAACCTCGCCTTGGACACCACCAGGGATGGAGCATTCACAGCTTCCCTGGGCAACCCATTCCAGTGCCTCAGCACCCTTACAGGAAATAATTTTCTCCTTATATCCAATCTAAACTTCCCCTGTTTAAGTTTTAACCCATTACCCCTTGTCCTATCATTACAGCCCCTAATGAAGAGTCCATCCCCAGCATCCCTATAGGCCCCCTTCAGATACTGGAAGGCTGCTCTGAGGTCTCCACTCAGCCTTCTCCAGGCTGAACAGCCCCAACTTTCTCAGCCTATCTTCATATGGGAGGTGCTCCAGCCCCTGATCATCCTCGTGGCCTCCTCTGGATTTGTTCCAACAGCTCCATGTCCTTTTTATGTTGAGGACACCAGAACTGCACACAATGCTCCAGGTGAGGTCTCACAAGATCAGTTTGCTTCTTCCTGGGACACACCAGGGTTGCCTTGGGTGAAGCAAATAGCAGGTGAAAAGACAAAAAGAGTAGATTTGCAGCATGCCCAAGGCTGGGAGACTGCCCAAAAGAGGCAGGAACTTGCCTGCTCCATGCAGCACAAGCAGGAAACAAACACCCACACCTCAGGGGCTACAGCTCAGCAAATAGATCAGGTCTGTGGGGAAGCAGCACAGCTGATAAAGCCAAAATCTCTTCCCATATCTACCCCATCAGGCTGGAGCTGCAGCTGACCCGCGCTGTCCTCTGGATCCTGGCTGGGCTGACTGGGAGGATGCTGGTTGGAAAAACCCAAATTATACCACAGAACACACTGCAAACTCTGAAGAGTCAGATGAGAGATCCCCTGTGTAGCTCTGGCTCTGCCTGGTGAGCAAAGGTATAGCCAAAGCACACAAAGGAAGCATAGAGGAAAATGAAGCTGTATTCAGCATGAAGTGGTATAAAATGCTGGACCATAGACCAACACAGAAGGAAATACACGTGAGACAACAGAGCACAGGGATCAACGGAAGAGCTTGATCTGAAATTCATCTGTTTCAAAGTATTCTGTTGTCCGGGGGATTACAAGGTCCTGGATCCAGAGCACCTCCAATACAAAGACAGGCTGAGAAAATTTGGGCTGCTGAGCTTGGAGAAAGGAAGCTGCATGGAGACCTCAGAGCAGCTTCCAGTGTCCGAAGGGGACTACAGGGATGCTGGAGAGGGACTCTTCATTAGGGACTCGAGTGATAGGAAAAGGGGTGATGGGTTCAAACTGAAACAGGGGAGATTTAGGCTGGAGATAAGGCAGAAGCTCTTCCCTGTGAGGGTGCTGAGGCGCTGGCACAGGGTGCCCAGAGAAGCTGTGGCTGCCCCATCCCTGGCAGTGTTCAAGGCCAGGTTGGACACAGGGGCTTGGAGCAAGCTGCTCCAGTGGAAGGGGTCCCTGCCCGTGGCAGGGGTTGGAGCTGGATGAGCTTTAAGGTCCCTTCCAACCCAAACCACTCTGGGATTCTGACCTTAGCTTTATGCTATGAGAAGAGCAAGAAAACCGAACAATAAAGGTGGACAGCCTCATCTCAAAGGGGATGGTTAACATTATACAGTGAAGCACCCCAAAGAAGGCACGAATACAGTTTTTTCCCTCTTTAGGAAGTCCTTACCTCCAAGACAGCCAGCACAGTATCCAGCTGGTCTTCCCTCAGTGTGATGTTGTTGGAAATTTTCCTCATGGTGTGTATTGACTGCAACCTCACCTCCTCTATTTCATCATTAAACATGTCAACCAAGAAATCCAGGCATTTCTCTGCGAAGGAAGGCGAGGACTGAGCCAGCATACACAGGGCTTCAACTGCAGCGATCCGAACCTCTGTCAACAGAGAGGGAGGGAATTCATTGTGTAAGTGCTGTTTAAAAGGACATGCCACTCAACAGCCAGGGCTCACATTGTTCAAGGGCTGGGATAAGGACAGAAGATGCTAAGGAAACCCCGATGGTAACACTGAGGGGGGTTGGAACTGGATGAGGTTTAAGGTCTCTTCCAACCCAAACCAGTCTGTGATTCTATGATGAGGGAGACTAAGCAGAGACCCCACTGGGGACACTTCCACAGGCAAATCTTCAAATCAGAAGCCTCACCTCTAATACTGCTGCCGGTGTAAGCACCTACAGGAGGGACATGGAAATGACAAATAGGTGTCGTACCTGCAATTAACACTATGTGTTTCCTAGTGCATTTTGCAAGGGTAGCATTAACTCTGGTATCTTAAGCAAAGTAATTGGGGTAATTAAACTCTGCTTGTTTTATTTTTCCTGGCATTTTAATTGCTTGGAGCATTCAGTGCATTTTTATGTAGCACTTCATGAATTGCTGAAAAGCCCCAGAGTATCGGCACTGAACACAATGAAACTTCTCTGCTTCCTGACTTCAGATGCCTCAAAAGAAAGGAAAAAGGTGCCATATTATTAAAATGCCTCATAATTTAAGCAGAAAAGCATCCAAAAGTGTCCAGAGTGTATTTATGCTGTAAAACATCACAGGAGCTTGAAGAATACCCACATGTAGCAAGCTCAAGAGGTGAAGAGATTCTCTTCCCTACAGCCATCCTCACTGGCCTCCATCACATTTATGCATGGGGATCATAAAAGAGGATGAATGTGATGTCTTGCAAACGTTATTGTTTTAAACATACTTCTATCTTTCATTCAAATTAGCTCATCTTGAACATATTTACTGAAACTGGAGTGGAGCTTTCAGGCCCATTGTTCTTAAAGCACATACTGGAGTCCTGATGGTTCAGATTAAAGAGAAAAATGCAAACACAGCAAGACCCCCGTGTGCTCAGGAACAAAGCTGCTGTCACACAGATGAGTCTCTGTGGTCTTTAAGACCAAGGTATTGCCATTTTGCCAATACTGCTTTCAGAAGCTGACCCATTGATTGCGATGGAAGTTACAAGTAATGCAAGCAGCACACTAAGGAAGAGAGCTCAGCAGGACTTGAAAGTGCTGCAGTGGAGGGAGAGATCCAGGCAAGAAACCTGGAGAGGGGCTTGGGACAAAGGATCTAGGGGCAGGCCAAGGGGAATAGCTTGAACCTGCTGGAGGGGAGACTGAGCTGAGCTCTTAGGCAGAAGCTCTTCCCTGTGAGGGTGCTGAGGCGCTGGCACAGGGTGCCCAGAGAAGCTGTGGCTGCCCCATCCTGGAGCAGCTCTGCTCTGGAGCCAGGCTGAGAGAGCTGGGCTGGGGCAGCCTGGAGAAGAGAAGGCTCCTGAAGGGGAGACCTTAGAGCAGCTCCAGTGCCTAAAGGGGCTGCAGGAAAGCTGGAGAGGGGCTTGGGACAAGGGCCTGTAGGGACAGGCCAAGGGGAATGGCTTGAACCTGCCCGAGGGGAGACTGAGCTGAGCTCTTAGGCAGAAGCTCTTCCCTGTGAGGGTGCTGAGGTGCTGGCACAGGGTGCCCAGAGAAGCTGTGGCTGCCCCATCCCTGGCAGTGCTCAAGGCCAAGTTGGACACAGGGGCTTGGAGCAAGCTGCTCCAGTGGGAGGGGTCCCTGCCTGTGGCAGGGGTTGGAACTGGAGGAGCTTTAAGGTCCCTTCCAACCCAACCCATTCTGTTTGGGAAACATGCTTTTATTTGCAAGAGTCATGGAACAAACCCCAACCTTTCCACCACAATGTACAAGCGGTATTTTTGTCACGGTGGGTTTGTACTTTCTAATTTAGCCTCATCCTTCCTAGAACATTAAAAGCAAATTCAGGAATAACATTGCGTGCTCAGCATTTCCTCAGGCCTCTGCAAACACCACCCGTTCTCAATAGAAACAAGCATCATCTGCACTTCACCCACAGGAAAGCTGGGCTGGGAACGGCAGCACACAGACTTTCCTGAGGCCATCAGCATGGTCAGTGCTCCAGCCAAACCAGGAGCTCAGAACACGTGTGTTCCGCTTGGACACTCCTAATTCATCCCTTTAAAAGAGCAGATGAGATCCAATCTGCTGGAAAGAGATGGCAGCCTCTACATCCATCATAGGAAGACCAACATAAATAGCAGTGCGGAACAGGTAAATATGACCTCAGAATGTAGCTATTTCCATTAAAGTAAAGGAATTATCAATAACATTGCTAAATATGTCAGCAAGAGCCCACCCTCACCGTCCCTGGAGGTGTTCAAAATTCATGCAGATGTGGTGATTTGTGACATGGTTTAGTGGTGGCCTTGGCAGTGCTGGGGTAAAGGTTGGCCTTGATGATCTTACAGGTCTTTTCCAACCTGATTCTATGTTTTCCTTTCTGCAGAGGAAACACCAATTCCAAACAGCAGCAGAAGCACCAACTGATGCTGCCAAATTACAGCCAAGTGCAACAGTTAAATTTAAGTCAACAACAAAAAAAAAACCAATCATAGGGGGTTTCTATGTACCATAAGCAACTACTTCTTATAGGTATTTTACTAGAACTTCATTGTTTACAGAAAGGTATTTGGTTTTGGCTACTCAATGAACCATTTCTATCCAAAATTCTGTGTAACACTGCAGCATCTCTGAAGCAATTGCCACATCAGAGCTCACAATGGAATAAAACCCCACCAACTTGAAATCCACCAAACTCAACACCCAAGTCATCTATTTTGACCCCAAGAAAACCCAACAAAACCCAAAAGCTTATTATCCAGCACACATCTTAGTCATTCCATAGTAACTTAACACTTACCATACATCTCATCCTCCAGGCCATGAACAAAAGCCCCACAAGCTCCTGATTCAATCAAGTTCACAGCCCCCGTATCGATTTCTTCTTTGGGGGCATCATCTCCCCACTTTCTGCCACTGGAAAACTCCCCAGAGCTGTAGAGTTCTTTGGCTCTCTCATGTGCAGTGCGCTTCCTCTGTCCAAACAAGACTGTCAGTTACAACCATGGTAGACTTGGAAGTAATAACGTGTTAAATGGCCTTATTGGAGTTGAGAATAGATGCAGCTCAAGGCTTAGACACTGACAGACACATGCAAATGCAAAGAAAAGCAAATAGTACCTTCTCTTCTATGATTAGTTCTAATTGCCAGTAACTGCACTTTTAATGTTGGGAGAAGGATAACAACCAATATATTTCGACTAACAATCACAGAATGGTTTGGGTTGGAAAGGACCTTAAGACCATCTAGTTCCAATCCCCTGCCATGGGCAGGGATGCCTCATATTTGACCATGTCATCTTAGACATCCCTTATAAGAACAGCCAAACCGGGTCAGAGCAAAGGCCCAGCTAGTTAAATAACCAGTAACTGATCTGCAGAAACATGGTATCACTTTGCAGCTCAACTTGTTCAACTGCAATTAAATCCTTTCACGACTACCAACACTACACAGAGTTCAGCAATGCAGAAAATGAGATATTCATTCAGCATGTTTGGCTAATCCACCTCCTTTCCCCCACACTGTACAGACAGCTGTGCAGCACTTTAACAGCCTTTACAAAGCAGGCCACAAAAACTACCAGCTCTACCTTCATCTTTCTTTTGTAGCCAGGAAAACTGAACATAATACCTCGACCAAGTTGCTTTAGGAAGGAATTTTACTGACAAGCTTTGCTTTTAGGGATCAGCCTTTAGCAACAAGTGTCTCTTGAAATGGATCTTGCAGGATGTTTCCATAAGCTTGCTCCTAAAACTAAGATGCAGCCTTTCCATACGCAATAAATAAAGCTTTTAGCCAAACGTCAGAAGAACACAAATGTTTACCTCTCATCTGTGAAACCTGAATAGCCTGAAGCTGTTTATTACATGCTCAGCTAATGAAACCTAAAACCAGCAATTCATTGACTTTAATCTAAAAGAAAACCTGTCATCATCAATTCAATCTCGGCAGCCCTGAGGCAAGGACATGGTAAAGGAGCACACTCAACATTCACATACCTGTTGTGCAGTTTTAGTACACTACACACAGGGAAACCAAACTCGTTTACATACCCTCAGATCCGACATGAGCTTCTTGTCAAGAGTCTGGTCTAAGAAATGGGAACTAACTTGTTGCATAGAACCCTGAAGAGACAAAAAGGAAGAACCAGGGTTATTCTAAATTACAGCATATAGTTTCCTGACTCATCCCAGCACAGCATCCAATCTTATTCACTCATTCTAACAGCTTCATACAACGCCTGACACTCCTGTATGTCAGAGTCTAAAGGAGTTTACTTAAAATGGTCAGAACATCTTATTTTCCCACTGGAGTGAATATGATCTTTCCTGAGTTCAGCTGGTTTACATGTCATGTGCTGGAGAAGCAGGGGAGGGAAACAGGACAAGTACATGGTTTTTGCCTGGATACCCAACCCTATACTTTCAAGGGAAGGGTCACTACAGAGTTCAGATGAGAAACTTCTGGGTTTCCTCAACCTCTCTCCTTTCTTTCTTGTCTGAATTCTGATAGAAATTTACCTATATAGTTATTGAACATTCTCCCATTTATGTCCAAATAGATGTGAAATTAAAGTACCAGAAGACTAACTATTCTTAACTGGAGAAAAAAAAGAAACCAACTTACCAATAACTTGGCAGCTTGTACCCTCACAACCCAGGAACCATCACTGACCATGTGACAGATTTTGCCAAAGGCATCATCAACCAAGCGGATTTCTTCATTAGAAGAAGGAATTGGGACGATGCTGTCAAAGAAGAACATGAGTCAGTGAATTCAGAATGTGCTGATTCGACACCATGCTGGATGGCATCAAGAGATGACTATGTTGGATTCCTATGGATGTGCAACAAGTACCAAGAGCCAAAACTTGATCTGGATCAGTGCATTCTTATCAGGTATTGGCAATCTGTACACATCAGCTACTCCTAAGACTTACTCTCAGGATTTAGGAAGTAAGACTTCCACGATTTAGGAAGTAAGACTTCCACAATTTAGGAAATAAGACTTACTAAGTCTCAGGACAAGACTCTCAGGATTAGGATGATTACTCTGCCAGTGCTTTGAGTCACTCTGCATCCAGTACATACCTTTCAGGGTAGAGTTGACTGAGGACCCAAATGAGCTGAACTGCTGCACTACGCACTTGCTCGTAATCATCTGCCAACAGCTTGCAGGCCTGAAAGAAGAATCACAGCCCAATCTACCTGAAGCATCTCCACCTGAGCTGTCATTCACTTCCCACAGTGCAATGAGGATCCTTACCAGGAATCAGTTAGGATAGATTAAAAATCAAGGGGGATTTAGTCTACTCGCAGGTTTGATCAGGTAGACTTGTCCTACTAAAGTCCATTAGGACATGCTGGAACACTCTAGAATCATCTGTACTATGTAAGAAGCATGAAATGTGAATCTGCAATAGAATTAATTTGATGCAGGCTTCAGCTGTGCAACCAGACTGACATAACAGAAACAGGCTTCATGTATTTGCTCCAATAAACAAGAGGTTATGACTTTGAGATTGGCAGAAGACATTAAGAATCACATAGTCCCTTGTCCTTACCATAATTATCTCCCCCAATAATATGTATCGTAGCATATGCTTTGGTGTATTTAAGCACAATAATGTAAAAGAGATTTCCATTTCCACTGTCATAGGACAATAAGGAATACAGGCAACTTAGGTGCAAAATACTGCACACCTCTGCTCAGTGCCCTCCTCAAAGCCCATTGTCACAGAATCTAAAAAGCAGGATATGCAAACAAGGACAAAATAAAGAGAAATACAAGGTTTACCTGACTGTAAATAGCCTGCTGTAATTTCAATCCTCTTTCATGAAGCTGCAGCTACAGGGAAAAAAACAAACAAGTATAACCATAGGTTTAAGTGACAGAGACCAAGTTTTCACCACTCTTTTTTTTTTATTTGAGTAAAACCTGGATTCCTTCGATAAGAAAAATATTTCATTACCTTGCCTATTAAGTATTTTAAATCATAGACTCATGGAATGATTTGGGTTGAAAAGGACCTTAAGATTATCCAGTTCCACGCCCTTGCCATGGGCAGGGACACCTCACATTAGACCAGGCTGCTCCAAGTCCCTGTGTCCAACCTGTCCTTGAACACTGCCAGGGATGGGGCAGCCACAGCTTCTCTGGGCACCCTGTGCCAGCGCCTCAGCACCCTCACAGGAAAGAATTTCCTCCTTATATCCAACCTGAACTTCCCCTGTTTCAGTTTGAACCCATCACCCCTTGTCCTATCACTACAGTCCCTAATGAAGAGTCCCTCCCCAGCATCCTTATAGGCCCCCTTCAGACACTGGAAGCTGCTCTGAGGTCTCCACGCAGCTTCTCTTCTCCAGGCTGAACAGCCCCAGCTTGCTCAGCCTGTCTCCATACAGGAGCTGCTCCAGTTCCTGATTATCCTTGTGGACTTTCTCCAACAGCTCCATATCCTTCCTGTGTTGAGGACACCAGAGCTGCACAGTGTTGCAAGTGGGGTCTCATGAGAGCAGAAAAGTCACAGAATGGTTTGGTTAAATCAAGTCAAGATTAAATAATAATCTTGACTTAAGTATAATTTCTTTAAACTTCACAGCCATTCATTCTTTAATTGATTAGGAAAACACAACTGCATGTAAATACATTGGCTGTCCATTCTCCAAACCTTCCAGCAACTGCTTCCACTACACCAGCACCACTTACCATGGCTTTTATAGCTGCAGTCCTAACCCGAGGGTCCTGGTCATTAAAATGATCTCCTATGATCTTCTGCACATCTTTGGCAGCCTGGCTTTCAGATTCTTTTGCAGCACCTTTTTCCACTGGTCCAAGACAGCCAATTAACTGCAGACACTTATTCCTTACACCATGGGAAGAATCTGTCAGATGCTGTGGAATGGAAAAGAAGAACAGATATAACTGGAAGCTTGCTGCTCTTTCACCCCTTTGTAACAATTAACCATAGGAAGATTCCTAGCAGTTAATGAAATGTTAGTATTGTAAGTTTGTTGAGAATTTAAACACTGACTACAAGGTTTTTATCCTATGGCAGTGACAAAGGTTTCCTGCCCAATGAGGCTGCCTTACCTTGCAGGCCACCTCGACCAGTCTCATCCTGACTGGTGGATTCTCTGTGAGTTTTGTGCCGATCACCAACAGGGTGTCCAGCAGCTGAGCAAGGACCTGGTGAGACTCTGCAAAACAAAGCAGTGAAAGGCTCTGTACCTCTTTACTGAGCTCCTCACCAGCTACAGAAGCACACAGGCATCAGGGCGGGAAGGTCCTCCTGAACACTTCTCCTTTCAATGCCAGAACAAGCTCAGCTCCCACAGCTTCCCCCTGCACATCACTTACTCTAGCACCCAACCACCTCAGCAGCCTTCTGCTGAACTCACTCAACCCACCCAGCACTTACAAGTGAGATTTAGGTTAGATATAAAGCAGAAGTTCTTCCCTGTGAGGGTGCTGAGGCGCTGGCACAGGGTGCCCAGAGAAGCTGTGGCTGCCCCATCCCTGGCAGTGTTCAAGGCCAGGTTGGACACAGGGGCTTGGAGCAAGCTGCTCCAGTGGAAGGGGTCCCTGCCCGTGGCAGGGGTTGGAACTGGATGAGCTTTAAGGTCTCTTCTAACCCAAACTATTACTTGATTCTATAAATGACATTAAAATTAAACCACATCACATAAAGCACCTGCAAACTGTGAATACAACATAGCAACTAAAACCAGGTTGTACTGAAACCACAAACAAGACAACCTGTGTTTTACTGCCTATTACAAATCCAGCACTAATAAACTAATGCATAGTAAGAAAGAAAATGTCCTCTTCAAACACAATTCCACTTTAAGCAAGACTGTCCTCTAGAACACTTGAGAAGCAACAGGTCTCGTACAGTAATGGAAAAGCAAAGCTTGCACTCCCTTAAAGCAAAGGTACACAACAGACAGGTCTGAGGAGCATTTTTCTCCTGCTCAGAACATAGTATTTTCTGTCATCATTCACAACAGCAGAACATAAATACTCTGAACAACACTTCCCAACTCTACACTTCAGCTCTAAAGGGCCTTACCACTGTCCTAAATGCTGAAAAGACAGGATGAATCCGCCTTGATCTCAGGCATCACCTAAAAACTGGGACTTACTCTCATTCTGAAGAGTGTTAATGGCATCATCCATGATGCAGTCTGGAGAAAACCCAGCAGTTTTGGACAACAAGCCCAGCAGGGAAGCGATCTTCAGCCTTACAGAGGCATCATTCTCCTGGAAGGAATCAACAGACACCTCATTTATTGTCCAGTTTCCACTACACACAGCCAGGACCCATCTATAATTCAGCACAAGGGTCTGAATTTTGCTGTCAGTTTGCTTCCTCCTTTATAAACCCGCAGTGCATCTCATAGGGCATGGACCAAACAAAACCATTACGGTGGCAGCTTCCAGCACATCTCAAAATGATTCTTTTACTCACAATTCCTCAAAATTGCCTTCATCCTGTTTGGAAATGTAATGTTTGAATAAATCAAGTTTTCAAGACACCAGAAAACTCAGTGTTGCTCAGGTTAATATCTATTTTAATGAACAAGTGGGAGGATTTTAGATGAACTGAGGTTGATGGTCCCTTGATCTCTACAAAGATAAAGAGCAGAGTCAACAACTCTTTCTTACTGGTGGGGAGGAACCTTGCCAATCTGACAGCAAGAAATGAAAGAAATCCAACACAGCAAGGTAAACACTGAATAAACCAATAGATGCATGTGTTACCTGCAAACATCTGCTCATTTTGACATGGTTTAGTGGTGGCCTTGGCAGTCCTGTGGTAACAGTTGGACTTGGATGATCTTAAAGGACCTTTTCAACCTACTTGATTCTATGATTCATTTATGCAACAGCAAAGCTGTCCAAGTGATAATTATATAAATAAGCTATAACAGTGTTTAGGAGAGACTCACACATCACACACACCCCACAAGTGACAAATGTGATACCCACAGCAGTTATCTCTTTCTCAGCTGATCTGAGAAGCATTTTCTCTTTACAGGGTTGAACTTACGCCCTTGAACAACAGTTGCTGTCACTGCACTGCTTACATTTGATGGTAGGACATATGGATTTTCATAGTATCGTGGTGTTCAGGTGAACAGGGGAAGTTCAGATTAGATATAAGGCACTTCTTCCCTGTGAGGGTGCTGAGGCACTGGCAGTGCTCAAGGCCAGGTTGGACACAGGGGCTTGGAGCAAGCTGCTCTAGTGGAAGGGGTCCCTGCCCATGGCAGGGGTTGGAACTGGATGAACTTTAAGATCCCTTCCAACTCAAACCACTTATAAAGGCATTTTTATTAGCCTTATAAATACTATCTGTGATGTTATTATGGAGCTACAAGCAGTCTCCCACCCCATAGGGCACTTTTCTAATATTCCTCAACAGGAAAACAGAGGAAGTTCTCCTTTGAGCTTACAGGTCTGATTGCCAGCCACAACCAGAACACCCATAAGTGAAGCTGCCTCTAATCCCTCACTCCTGCCACCCTGAAGAGTCAGGAAAGGAACGTGAGGATCCCCTCAGGCCACTGTTTGGAGACACATGTCACAACAAGGCTTACAATAGCCTGCCCCCACGGCCTTCCCACACACATGGCAACATGCTACCTGCTCAGCTGTGGTGCTGATTCCACTGTGAGCATGGCCACAGGTGGGAAAATGGGGAAGAAAGGAAAAGCCAGATTATTTTCCTGATCTATTTCAGCAGCCAGCAGCACTGTGTGGGGATTGTTCTATAATATATAAAGGGCTGAAGAAGTATGAGGCTGCCGTACCACCTTAAAACACTACAAACAAACACATTATCACACAACATCCACTGCAGTTCCAGCTTTCAGGGTGAAGTTTCTGAAGGATCAGTTCAAGTGCAAGTTTTAGTATAGAATCACAGAACAGTTAGGGTTGGAAAGGACCTTAAGATCATCCATTTCCAAACCCCCCTTTTCTGGAGATACTGGTTTATAATAACCAGATCTTCAAAAGATTTTGTCCTTAAGTAAAATATGACCAGGACTGTGCTGCTTTACAAAACTGGTTTCTGTAACAGGTTGTGCACTTGAGAATGTGACTGTATCTGCAGATTTGAGTGTCTATTCTAACACAGGCTACAAGACAAACTTCAAACACAAACAAGCTGCATTATTTGACCACGAATGACAGAAGAACTCCCAGAACAAAGAGATGAAGTTGTCCAATCTTTTGAGTGGGAACCAGTCCAGTGACCAAAACAAGTTCTCATCAAAATGGCCAAATGTGAAACAGTCTCAAGACACGAGTCAAAGCATTTAAAGCACAGAAACAGATAAAATGCAGCTGAGTTTTGCTGCAAGCTCAAAGCAAAACAGACTCAAGTATAAGAGGAAAGACACAGTAGCACAAGGGTGTTTCTGAGAAACATTTTCAGCTTTGTCAGATGCCACGCTGTGAATGCTCCATCCTTGGAGGTGTTCAAGGCCAGGCTGGATAAAGCCTTGGGTGACGTGGTTTAATGTGAGGTGTCCCTGGCCATGGCAGGGGGTTAGAACTGGATGATCTTAAGGTCCTTTCCAACCCTAACTATTCTATGATTCTGTAATTCTAAAGCTTTGCTTTATCAAGTGAAGGATCAACATCTGGATACCATGAAATATACTTTAGACCTGTTACTTATTTGTTATTCTGCTTTTAAGACCTTTTTGTTGGAAAGCTTTTCAGTAGTGTCATTTGAAAAGGGCTTTGTTCACAGCATACACAATAGCTAAAATGCTTCTCCACTGCTACAGGAAATTAAGAGCAAGATAAGGAAACATCAGTCAGGGAGGACTCAAAGATAAGCCAGTTCTGGATAGTCCAGCTCCCTGGATAACTTCTTGTCATGTCTTTTGTCCCTTGTTAAGTTGAAATTAACTTATCACACACTAAATTAACTAATCACACTATCTGCAGGGATAACACAGTCACAGGCTCCTGAAGCCATCAGCAAAGGGATCAACATGATCAGAAACCACTGGGGTAAAGGACTGGAGTCCCTCAGTCTCCTCACACATAGAAGCTGTTGGCATCCAGGTGAGCAACACAGCACCCTGTGACTCCCAATTCCACATCCAACACCCCAAAAGCAAGCCCAGAAGGAGGATCCTGGAAGCACACTTGGCTCCCAGCTTCACCACCTTGTAATAATGCTCCAGCAGGATCCTGACAACCCCTTCCACGCTCTCCGCTTCCACAGGCTTCCTGGCAAACTGGAGCAGGTACTGCAACGCATCTGCAGGGGAGGTGGCTTTGCACAGGTCCACATGGAGCGCTGCTGACTTGCTGGGCTTGGTCAACCGCAGCTTCTTAGAGGACAAGTCCTCGTGCTGCTGCTGTGGGCAGAGGGACATGGGTCAGAAACACACAGCAAATCCTTCACAGAGAGAGCACGGGTTCAGCACCAAGCCTCAGTTAGCTCCTGTGCCCCACAGCAGTCCCTGGCCTCTCCCTCAACTACCTTAGGACAAAGCACATCCTCAGCCCCCCTGGCTGCTGTCCTGCCCATGTAGCCCCTATCCTCAGGAAACACTGCCTCCCCCCACACCGACCTGCGGCAAATCCTGCCCCTTCCAACCCCACACAACCAACACGCGGCAAACACAACTCCTCCCGTACCCACCAGCCTGGAGCAGCCGAACAACCCGCTGCCGTACCCCGCCAAGGGCTGGGGGAAGCCACATCAGCCTCCCGTCAGCCGCGACCCTCCCCATGCCGCTTTGTCCCAGCCCGCAGGGGTTCATCCCACCCCTCCCGCACACACCCCGAGCCAACCCCATTCCCTCCAGCCAGCTCCGGCCTCCATAAACCGCGGCAGACCCGTCCCGGGGCTAGGCCGCGGGCTGAGCCCTTGGATTCCTCCACAGCTCCGCCTCACGGGCCGCACGGCGGAGCTCGGGGCCATGTCTCCGTCTCCCCCCCCCCGTGCCTGCCCGGTATCAGTGCGTTACCTGGACCACCTTGGTGAACTCCTCGTACACCCGCTTCTTCAGGTGCGCCGCCATGCTGCCGGCCGCGCAACCCGGAAGAGAAACCACAGAGGCACCCGCAGAGAGGCGCCAATAGGCAGAGGCCTCTCTTCACAGCTGGAGGCAGAGCTCTATGGTCAGGAGGCCGGGCCCCGCAGCGGGCGGCCTGTTGTTGCCATGGGAACGCGGGGCTGACATGGAGACTGCGGCCTGGCCCGGCTCGCTGCTAAACCCTACCGGGGCGTGAACACCGATGCGTTTCCAAGCAATATACTCACCAGTTTCGTTAGTATTTGATAGTAGACCGTATAAATAGCCAAATAAAAATAACATGGATTGCCAAGTTAGAAAAGACCTTAGAGCAGCTCCAGTGCCTAAAGGGGCTGCAGGAAAGCTGGAGAGGGGCTTGGGACAAGGGCCTGTAGGGCCAGGCCAAGGGGAATGGCTTGAACCTGCCAGAGGGGAGACTGAGCTGAGCTCTTAGGCAGAAGCTCTTCCCTGTGAGGGTGCTGAGGCGCTGGCACAGGGTGCCCAGAGAAGCTGTGGCTGCCTCATGGGCAGGGACACCTTCCAGTGGAGCAGCTTGCTCCAAGCCCCTGTGTCCAGCCTGGCCTTGAGCACTGCCAGGGATGGGGAACAAAGCGTAACAGGTCTCTTTAGAGCAGCCTTTTGTCCATTTGAAGGCTGCTTTCACATCTCTTCGCCTGGGCTAAGCACAACCAACCATTCCGTTTTGACTGAAGGTATGATCATAGATCATATTTCCTACACCTTATTGTCCTCTCAGACTCTGTGTCCATCCTTACCAAGGGTATAAACGTCTCAAATAGCCTCTCACACCTACAGCAGAACTGCCCTGAGCTGCGACTTCTGCCTTTAACTGGGGTCAGTCTGCACTAAGCTGAGCATATTGGAAACCAAGCTTACTGGGGAATGATTCACATCCATAGGCATACAGGTAAAACTTCAGGTCTTCAGGACTGGGGGATTTGGGAGGGAAGATGTCAGTAAATAAAGCACTTACTTCATTCAAAGGGCTTTTAAAGGTTATTTATTTAACATCCAGAGATTACTGGAGGAAATCCATCCTCCGAGAAGCAGAGGCAGTGTGATCATAGTCAAATGACAGTGGGATTGAGTGCGCCCTCAGCAAGTTTGCCGATGACACCAAGCTGTGTGGTTCGGTTGATCCGCTGGAGGGAAGGAATGCCATCCAGAGGGACCTTGACATGCTTGTGAGGTGGGCTGATGCCAACCTCATGAAGTTTAACCATGCCAAGTGCAAGGTCCTACACCTGGGTCGGAGCAATCCCAGGCACAGCTACAGGCTGGGCAGAGAAGAGATTCAGAGCAGCCCAAGGAGAAGGACTTGGGGGTGCTGGTCGATGAGAAAATGAACATGAGCCAGCTTCAGTGTGCGCTTGCAGCCCAGAAAGCAACCGTATCCTGGGCTGCATCAAAAGGAGCGTGACCAGCAGGTCCAAGGAGGTGATCCTGCCCCTTTATTCTGCTCTCCTGAGACCTCACCTGGAGCATTGTGTGCAGTTCTGGTGTCCTCAACATAAAAAGGACATGGAGCTGTTGGAACAAGTCCAGAGGAGGCCACGAGAATGATCAGGGGCTGGAGCAGCTCCTGTATGGAGACAGGCTGAGAAAGTTGGGGCTGTTCAGCCTGGAGAAGGGAAGGCTGCGTGGAGACCTCAGAGCAGCCTTCCAGTATGTGAAGGGGGCCTATAGGGATGCTGGGGATGGACTCTTCATTAGGGACTGTAGTGACAGGACAAGGGGAATGAGTTAAAACTTAAACAGGGGAAGTTCAGGTTGGATATAAGGAAGAAGTTCTTTACTGTAAGGGTGGTGAGGCACTGGAATGGGTTGCCCAGGGTAGTTGTGAATGCTCCATCCCTGGCAGTGCTCAAGGCCAGTTTGGACAGAGCCTTGGGTGCCATGGTTTAGTGCGAGGTGTCCCTGCCCATGGCAGGGGGTTGGAACTGGATGATCTTAAGGTCCTTTCCAACCCTGACTACGCTATGATTGCATGAAATCGGCCATTATGATTTTCAGAGTGATTAAAACCAAGCTAACAGGCATCTCCAGTATAAAAATAAACCTTTAAATACTGAGAGGTTTACAACACAATGTGGGATCCAATTCATGTTCTGTAAAGGAGAATTTACACTGAGGTCCCAGGCTATCGCTTCAGTAGCACTTCTTTCCCATCAAATCACAGTGGGTTTTCCCTGTTCTTCCAGAAGCTTATATATTTAGAAATAACATCCTAATAATGATGAATAACATAAGAAAAAGATCAAAATGGTGTGCCCTGAGAGAGGAGTGCGGGTCCTTAGGTTATAAACTCTATACTGTAAAAAAACCCTATAAACTTAGATTATAAACCATAAGCAATAGTATTTTTGCCTTGTGTTGATCCTGGACCAGGGCTGAGGTTCTCTGTCTTTCCTTCAGAATAAGTAATAAATAATGGTAATAAATACATTGGTTACAGAGCAGGCTGGCTGCTGGAGGAACACAAAGAGAGCAGGGGCCACCGAATCCTTTTTAACCCACATTCTAGCATGGAAAGCAGTGAGAAGAAGAGCTTCTGCCTTCTCACTAAGGATCCAGATTCAATTTGAGCATGTGCATGTTTCCACTGGAGATTGCACCTATGTGACCTGTTCCCATTGGCGCTGAGAGGCCAACTCCACATGTCCATGATAGGTATTTGGGACTATTCATTTCTCTTAGGTTGAGTGATTCTGGCTTAGATCAGGCTCTCTGAACTAACTTAGTAGTTAACGATGCTCAAAGCGTAAAATCCCTCCTTTTCCTGCTACCTTTTAAACACATGGTTATCCCCTAAGTAATCAGTAGCTCTTAAATCCTCTTTAATTTAGCAAATGACCAAAGGAGATCATTTCCTTGCCCCATGCATTTCCTCCTGTCCTTGCAGTAATCCATAGCTTACTCTCCACAGCCCAAGTTAATTTGGTTTAATAATTACTTCCCTCCATTCCCTTTGGAATTCCCTTTGGGGGCACTTTGCTACCACCAGGTGAACAGGAACTTGTAGAAGAAGTCATGCGATTTGAAGCGGAACCCTTTTTCAGCAACATGGGGCTGAAAGGCTATTTTATACCCTTTGGCTTCCACATCCATTTGGATGCAGTCCAACAGGTCAAAAACACTTGGCGCTGCCTTCCAGGGCCCAAACTTCACCACGGACTTCTTATCCATGTCCAAGCTGTTCAAGGCATCCTGACATCTGGCCGCATCCTCCTCGGTCTTCACCACGCAGACGATGACGCTGGAGCGGCGCGATGCGACCGCCTCTGCCCTGGCAATGTGGATCATGAGCTCGATGTTCTCGCTGTAGTTGGGCACACGAGCCAGAAACTGCTTCCTGGCCACGAGCTCCCCAAAGAGCTGTGGGGAGTCCTCAAGCTGCTTGATCAGAGGCTCGATGTCGTAGAACAACGCCTCCTTGTAGACGTCCTGGATGCACTGGGTGGGCACTTGGTTACTACGAAGGTACTCCAGGATGTATTTGAAGTAGGTGCCTGGCCTGTCGATGAAGAACCTCCCTTCGGAGTCAGTCCTCAGTTTGGGCTGCCCGGTGAACATCTCTGCCAGCTTGGAGCCAGGGTGTTTCTTTAAGGTGCTCAGGGTTGTTGTGTACATCTCCCCACCGACATTTAACTCCACGATTGGGGACAACTGCAAGAATCACAAAGGGGACAAAAAGCCGTGTGTGTTATCAATCTGAGGCCATGAACGTGGATGTATCGAGGGAAAAAGGATGATTGCTGCTGGAAGTGGGAATGGTGGTGTGAGGACTGGTATGAGCTCCCATAGGGATCAGATGGGAACAGCCACCCCATTTATTGCTCAAAGCAGATGTGGGATGTTTATGCAGCCTTCATAACCACAGCAGCAGAAACCTGGATGTTTCAAAATGGCCAAGTTCTCACCACATCTTTAGGATGAAGGAAATTTGGGATTAGTCCACTTTTTGCCAGTGGGGAGCAGGGACAAGAAGTACCCTGCCCAGGGAAGCTGTCACTGACTACAGGATTCAACATCCATCTCCTAAGTCCCACACAAGCCCCTCTCCTTCCAACAAGAGCAATCTGTGTGCTCTCATCCCATGTGAAGAGAGACAAGGATCTAAAGCCGCGCAACTCCTTTCTTCTCATCTGAACAGGTATTTTCTCTCCAAAGAAGGAACTAAAGCCCCTTGAAATGGGCGGAATCTTCTACTTGTCAGGGAGTTGAGTCATAAATACTAAGGAACACTCAAAAATCCAGCATGTCAGAGGTGGAGAACAGAAGCAAAGCACTTGGAAAATGTGTGATAGCTTTAGCTGGAAGTAAAGGAAATCATAGAATCATAGAATGGCTTGGGTTGGAAAGGCCCTTAAGATCATCTAGTTCCAACCCCCAGCCATGGGCAGGGATGCCTCACACTAAACCATGGCACCCAAGACTCCATCCAGCCTGGCTTTGAACACTGGCAGGGATGAAGCATTCACAACTTTCTTGGACAACCCATTCCAGTGCCTCCCTCACAGTAAAGAACTTCTTCCTTATCTCCAACCTGAACTTCCCCTGTTTCAGTTTGAACCCATCACCCCTTGTCCTATCACTATAGTCCCTAATGAAGAGTCCCTCCCCAGCATCCTTCCATCCCATCATTCATGAGGCTGACATGGATTTAAGAAGGAATAATGTAAAGCTTAGGGTTTTGTTTGGATTTATTTCATTTCCCCGTGCTATCTGAAACACATTGGAGGAGGCTTGAATGCTGGGAAGCTGAACGTGATGTCCAGTCCAGCCTTCCTGATGGTTCAGTGCTGCAGAGTTTCAACAGCATCACTTTGCACTTGGTCACTTTTTCCATTACTCAATACTGTAAAAAGAACTGGAGGAAAAGTAGTCCTTTTCCTTCAGATAAAGACACTGGAGAACAAGGAGAGGGAAGAAAGGAGGCAGTTGTTTCCCTCCTGCTGTAATCGTCCCATGCGCAGCCTGGACCACACCTGCCATTGGGAAGGTGTGAGTCAATAACAACCCATTTTTTCCAGGAGCAAACCTGCTCTTTCTTGGACCTGCTCACGCCAGGATCTGCCTCAGTGCTTCGGTCACATGCCTGAAGTGAAGCACGTGCTGAAGTGCTCAGCTGGATCCCAAGGACCAGACGCACGGGATGACGTGAGCTGATCTCTGGCCAAGAGAAAGGGGAGCTCCTGCTGCCCTCTCCCTTTTCCATGCTCGTTCCTACCTACCTGCTTCTATTGCTCACCTTGTGCTTCTCTTTCACCTTACTGAGCTGAGCTGGCTCACAGAGGATTTAACAAGCAGCAGAGCTAGCAAAAGGAAGGGACTAGGAACAGTTAACATGGAGCAGGGGGAGACCTTCCCTTTAGACAGCAGCAAGCTATCACATTTAGCAGCAATTGGCTCCCAGCCTCAGCAAGGCAGGGAAACAAGAGCCAAAGACCCAGCTGGAATATTGCTTTGCCTTAGTGTGGGTGGCTTCATCTCGGGGACGATCATTTACACTAGAGCCAAGGAGACATAAATATCAATTCTGTCTGAGCCGATCTTGTGATTCCCACCCACTGAAGAGCATGGCCCAGAGCTGTTTCTGTAGGAAATCTGCCACTAATCCAAGTGCCAGCAACAGCTTTTCCCTGACAGGGCTCATTTGACAGGAGGGTCTCATGCTTTTGAGGCTCTGCTGCTTTCTCAGATGTTTCATGCTGTTACTCACTGACACAAATGGATCAAATCTTCATTAATACAGTAGCCAAATTAACCTTATATTCTCAGGTCCAATGCTTTTAGCCTGGGGAGCCAAACTGATTCCCAGCAGACCAGGAGCACTGGCCCCAGCTGATTCCCAGCTCTGTCATTAGCGAGGTGACACTTAGGAATGTCATTCCACCCACTTATGCTCCAGTTTATCCCTCTATAAACCAGTTACTTCCTTGGGGAAGCGTTTTGCAACCTACACCTGAAAAGTAGAACACAAGAAGGTTGGATCGAAGAGGTCTGGAGGGAGAAGCTGTACAGCTACAACAGAGAAGACAAACTGGTTAAGAGTGGCCTGAGGACAGAGGAGAGGAAAAGGAAAACCATCTCATCACTGATTTCTGCCTGTCTGAGATTGCCTCTTGTTTTCCTTAGAGCTAGAAAAGCTACTGCTCCCACCTGATGACTCAACACAGGGCATTGCTCCATTGGAGACTCTAAGAACTGCTGAAACCCACCCAAAACTCACAGCAGGTTTTTATTTAGTTATCTGAGCAATTAAAGTTCATCCTAAGTTAATTCCACCTCTTGTCAAAGGAGAAGAACCACTCTGGTTACTTGTTGTTAGCAGATCCATGCCTGCGAGGGACATGGCCCTTCTGTAAGCAAACAGGGGAGAGTCAAACACAGCTTTATACCTAGAGCCCTCTTCTTGCTCACACATCAGGCAAGCCCTGGTGTCTTTACAACAGATGGGGGTAAAAAACCACTCTAAAGGAGCCCAAAGGGAATGCTTTGATCCCACAGGACACTGCCCTCGAGCTGGTACATTACTCACAGTATGCAGGCTGCCCGTGACCTGCTTCCGAAAGGGCTTGTGCTCCGATGCAATGCTCATGTCCCTCGGGAGCTGCCGGTGTGGAAAACCTGCTCCTCCACTCACAGGATGGCTCCTCACCAGCCTCCAGTCCAATTCCACTCGGTTTTCCTTGGTTGGATCTCGCCTTTCCCAAGCTCTCAGCCCAGCCCGTGCCCCTAAGGCTCCAGTTTGCTCTGGGCACAGCCCTGGTGCAGGTAGTAGGGAATGGGGAGGGAACAGCCTGCAAGAGGAAGTATTTGTTCATTATGTTCTGGCATCCAGCAAGGTGCAGGGTGGCCTTGGGCTGGCTGCCAGTGCACAGCTCCTGTAATACTGCCTGTGCCGTGAGTAAGAGCCAAATCATCCTGCCCCAAGGAGGCTGAGTGCACAGAGCACCTCTGAGGAGCCCCACAGTGTGTGTCTGTGTGGTCACCTCTGCCTCATGAACCCATTGCATCAAGACCAGCAAACACTTTCACAGCTTTTTGGCCTCTGTGCACCGCTGTTTTAAAGCACATAAATATCAATTCGTATTAATTGTTAAATATAATTCAGGTTATCCCAAACCCTCTCATTCATCTCATTTGTTGACACAAGACATGTTCCTATTTCCCAACTCAAGAGGGACTGAACCTGCTTGAGTGAGCCCAGAGGAGGCCATGGAGCTGCTGCGAGGGCTGGAGCAGCTCTGCTCTGGAGCCAGGCTGAGAGAGCTGGGCTGGGGCAGCCTGGAGAAGAGAAGGCTCCTGAAGGGGAGACCTTAGAGCAGCTCCAGTGCCTAAAGGGGCTGCAGGAAACATGGAGAGGGGCTTGGGACAAGGGCCTGTAGGGACAGGCCAAGGGGAATGGCTTGAACCTGCCCGACGGGAGACTGAGCTGAGCTCTTAGGCAGAAGCTCTTCCCTGTGAGGGTGCTGAGGCGCTGGCACAGGGTGCCCAGAGAAGCTGTGGCTGCCCCATCCCTGGCAGTGTTCAAGGCCAGGTTGGACACAGGGGCTTGGAGCAAGCTGCTCCAGTGGAAGGGGTCCATGCCCATGGCAGGGGTTGGGGCTGGATGAGCTTTAAGGTCCCCTCAACCCAAACCACTCTGGGTTTCTATATTCTATGATTCTTTAATTCCTGCAAATCCCATGTTTTGGTATGCTTTTACACAGGTGCTCCAGAATATATCCTGGATGTAACTGGCAGAGGTAGAGTTCATCTCCAGCACATTCAGTGCTGGAGCTGATAACCTTTCTTTCTGCAGCTGTAGAACTGGATGAACAAGTGGACCATCACCTTGCTGCTCACACAAGCTTTTCACAAGGGAAGGGTGAAGAGCAGTAGGTTACCTGGAAGGTCTCCCCAGACCAGCATCAAGGGTGGCTGATGGTGTTTGAAGCCACACAATGCCACAACACAGATCCTTATCGCTTCAGCAAAGGGAATAGTTGTTAGTCCTCAACACTTCTCTACTGCTAGAGCAACCACAGCCATTCCTTGAGTCTGATGAACACGCTGCTCTGGTTCCTCCACTCTCTTATCCCTTCCTCGGCCACTTTTGCTGACACATTATGAGACAAAGAATCAGCCCCAATGTTTTCATGTATGTGAATAGTCTGATTGCCATTATTTGTGCTTCTTCTGGGACTTCTCAATCCCACCAACTGCACAACTTGCTTTAAGATGCCAGTTTTCAGTCCTGCTATACAAATTACTCCCAGTTGGAATTTCCCCCCCCCCTCCTTTTCAATGAGGATTTGATATCAGCTGCCAAATTCATCTGATCCCAAAAGAGACTTTAGGAAGAACTTCTCACAGCCCGAACCATTGGCACATCACTGCCTTCCCACGGGGATTTGGTGCCCTTTTCTTTAGATGGACATGCATCCTGGATCCCTAGGACCACACACCTGACCTGTTTGGTGTCCCAGCTTTGCTAGGCAGGCACCCAGCTCTGCCTCAAAGCCCTCTGTGCCTGCACTAATTGGAAACAGTCACTAGTGCAGTTTGCCAGGCTCTTTCTGCCCCATGGTCAAAGCTGTGCTGAGGAAACCAGTGATGGGGAAGCAGCAAAAGCAGGATCAGGGGCTTGGAGAGGAGCGGAGGAGGCAGCTCCAACAAGGCTCCGAGCAGTCCATGCTGCTGGTTTGAATTCCATTCTTCCCTTGAGAAGGAAGTAAGAAGCCAACACCATGCAAGTCTCCATAGCATCGTGCGATGGGGTCCTAGAATTCCCACAACCAGCAGCTCCATTGTAGCTGCTGCTCCACAGCCCCTGGACAGGTCTTGGCCACCACGGGGCTGTTTCAGGGAGGTTAAGCTGGGTTTCTCCCTTTGGGGAATAGGATTTGATTTGTATTAAGCTCTGATTTCCACTCAGGATCTCTGTTGGGCTTTATGTTTGTTACCGCTTGGGCTGGGTCCCTGAAATCCCTCATCCTTGGGGCCCTTTAAAGCTGCATCTTATGCACTGATGGTTTGCTGGGGATCCATCTGGTTGCAATTGAGAGGAAAGCTCTGAGGACGTCTGCAGAGGAGATCAAACAGGATCAACAAGGCCTTGTCCTCAAAAGGGAGGCTGCTGAGACCTGTTGGAGAGGTCTTGGAGCCGTGAATAGGACATGCACTGTGATGCTTAGAGCCTCCTGCCTCTTCTGCTTGGGGTGACTGCTGTTCCTGACGTGTCTTTTGTAGACCCTTCAGAAGTGGATTTCCTTCTGCCCACAGTTCTTCCTGAATGGAAGAGGGATAATTCCAAGAGTGTAAGCTCTTTCAGGCAGGGACCATCCTCTCCCTCTGCCTTTGCATGAAAGGATTAGCCTGTGCCTGGACCTTCTACCAGCAACCACAATGTGAGTCATAAGAATAATCCTACTAATGCTGAGAACGTGGTGTCTGCCAAAGAATGAAGAACTTGACAATGGCTTTGTGGGGAATAAATATGACAATTGTCTAAATATGTCCATAACAATGAGCTGGACCGTTTCTGGGCTGGGACATAGAGCAATTTGGAAAACAGTATTAGGTATAAAAGCATTTATAACAGATTTATTTCTTTAACACATTGGCTTGTCAGCTTCTGTTTCAGAGAATTAGGTCAACACCATTCAGACTTGGATTTTATGCCCCAGTTCAAGTGAATACACGAAATCCAAGGGGGAAAACCAAAGAAGAAAGAATTATGTGCTTAAAACAGGAAGGGAAATGAGACGTTTGGATGTGGGGAAGCAGCTGGGAGCAGCTTCTGTTTGCCTTTCTGCTCTCATTCTGTATTCTCCAGTACCTAAGCTCCTCAAGGGGATAAAGCCCTTTGGCTCTGGTCCATTTGCGTGGAGCATGGAGGAGGCAATCCATAGCTGATCTCCACCCTTCACATTGTATTATAGGTGCTAGCATTATTATTGCTGGGAGAGATGATACACTGATAAAGAGGCGCCTAGAGAAGGTGATTCCAACACTATGGAGGCTGGAGAGGTGGGACCGTGCAAACCTCATGGAGTTCAACCAGGCCAAGGGCAAGGTCCTGCCCCTGGTTTGGGGCAATCCCAGCACAAACACAGGCTGGGGGAGACTGAATGGCTCCCGTTGTTTTATTGCTGCTGTGAAACGTGCTGTTATCTGTCCTGCAGCTGTGGCTCTGCGGGCTGCACAAGGTGTTCGGCAAAGATGCTGGAAAGGGAGAGCTCTCACGTGAAGGGCAAGAGTAAGGCAAGAATGTGTGGCCACTTAAAGGCATACAGAGTTCCAGCAGGAACTGTAGGCTGGGTTGGATAGGGCTTGGAGCAAGCTGCTCTAGTGGAAGGTGTCCCTGCCCGCGGCAGGGGTTGGAGCTGGAGGAGCTTTAAGGTCCCTTCCAACCCAAACCAGTCTGGGATTATGGTTGAAACGTGGATGAAATGACTGCAGAATCTGTGCTTCTCTTACTGCTGACACTGTTTTACTGCAGGAAATTGAGGCATGGAGCAATGAAGCTGCTTGCCCAAGGTACTGAAAGATGTGGCAGAACCAGCTACAGGTTGGGTGGAGAAGTGACTCAGAGCAGCCCAGAGCAGAAGGACTTGGGGTGCTGGGTGAGGAGAAGCTCCCCATGACCCGGCTTCAGTGAGCGCTTGAGCCCAGAACCCCCCCGTGTGCTGGGCTGCACCCCCAGAGCGTGAGCAGCAGCTCAGGGAGGGGATCCTGCCCCTCTGCTGTGTGAAGGGGAGACCCCCCCTGCAGCCCTGATCCAGCTCTGGGGCAGCAGCACAAGAGGGACGTGGAGCTGTTGGAGCGAGGCCAGAGGAGGCCATGGAGCTGCTGCGAGGGCGGAGCAGCTCTGCTCTGGAGCCAGGCTGAGAGAGCTGGGCTGGGGCAGCCTGGAGAAGAGAAGGCTCCTGAAGGGGAGACCTTAGAGCAGCTCCAGTGCCTAAAGGGGCTGCAGGAAAGCTGGAGAGGGGCTTGGGACAAGGGCCTGTAGGGACAGGCCAAGGGGAATGGCTTGAACCTGCCCAAGGGGAGACTGAGCTGAGCTCTTAGGCAGAAGCTCTTCCCAGCCTGCCCAGTCTGTGAACACCACCAGCAGTTTGCTTTAGCCCTGCTCAGGAGTTGCACCAGTGCAGCCGGGCTGGTGGCTCTGCAGACCCAGAGCCACTCCTAAACCAAACAGCCATGAGCTATGCAAACACCATCCACATTCCTACCTGCTGCCTACCAGCTGCTTGTCAGCTCCACCTTTAAGCACCTTTAAGGCTGGTGGCTTGTTCTCAGATCTCATCTTGCCTAGGACAGAACCCAGGACACCATCAGGAGCCGAGGGAACAAAATGCCTCATGGCCAAGCAGGTACATGCATCGTCCCCAATGGATGAATGGGGGGAGGCAGACTTAACCATTCCTATTGCCATCTGTTAAAGCAATCCAAGAAGCTCATCAGTGCCCATATTCCCAAGGAACCAAATTATTCTCCTTATCATAGAATCATAGAATCATAGAATGGGTTGGGTTGGAAAGGACCTTAAGATCATCAAGTTCCAACCCCCCTGCTATGGGCAGGGACACCTCACACTAAACCATATCACCCAAGGCCTCATCCAACCCAGCCTTGAACACTGACAGGGATGGAGCATTCACAACCTCCTTGGGCAGCCCATTCCAGTGCCTCAGCACCCTCACAGGAAAGAATTTCCTCCTTATATCCAATCCAAACTTCCCTTGTTTAAGTTTTAACCCATCACCCCTTGTCCTATCACTACAGTCCCTAATGAAGAGTCCATCCCCAGCATCCCTATAGGTCCCCTTCAGACACTGGGAGCTGCTCTGAGGTCTCCACGCAGCTTCTCTTCTCCAGGCTCAACAGCCCCAACTTTCTCAGCCTGTCTCCATACAGGAACTGCTCCAGCCCCTGAGCATCCTCGTGGCCTCCTATGCACTTGTTCCAACAGCTCCATGTCCTTTTTATGTTGAGGACACCAGAACTGCACACAATGCTCCAGGTGAGGTCTCACAAGAGCAGAGCAGAGGGGCAGGATCACCTCCTTCGACCTGCTGGTCACACTCCTTTTGATGCAGCCCAGGATATGGTTGCTTTCTAGGTACAGCAGTGCTCTCTTCTTGCCCATCTTTCTCTTTGTTCTTTCCCTTCCTGGACTCTCTCCCAACTCCTGATGTTCCACATGGAGCATGTGAGGCAGAGCTGGGTGTATGGGTGTCACTGTTCCCAGATCCCTGTCACACAGCACTCCTACTGAAGGTGTTGCTATGGATCCATTTTGGTCATTCCATCCTGAAGGACACTAAGTTGTCCCCCAAAGTTCAGGCTGATGCTGTCTCTAGCCATAAAAAGGGCGATGTGCAGAAACAAGGATCATTTCAATGTAGGCTATGAAGGTTGGCAGCTCAACCAGAGGGTTTATGCTTGGTCTTGCTGCTGAGGCTACAACCCCTTGCTCTGAAGCTGCAGAGAGGAGAGGTTGGACTAGTCATGGAAAAGGAAGGCTGAGAGATAAGTCCGTTGGCTGCCAGCTAGATGCCCAGAAATAAGGATGCAAAGAGAAGCCAGACCTTGCTGTGTATCTCTGGGTGCGAGTGGGGATGCTTTGAAGCCAGGGTGCATTTCACTGTGAAATTGTGCAATGAATTCTCTGTGATACCAGAACTTCATTGAAACAAAAGCAAAGGATGGAGTCCCTGCTTTGCTTTTCCTTATAGTGCTGTAGAGCTCCAAAGTGCTGCTGAGCAACCAGGGCCCCACTGAAGGGCTTAACATGAGCATAAACCCACGACCAAAGCACGAGGTGCCTGCAGGTGATGGGAAGAAACAGAAGAACCATCTGCAGAGCAGTTGCTCGTTTTAGACTGAGGTTTTTGAAGCTGATGTGTGTCTGATTTCAGTGTGAAGGGTGTTATTTCACTCCTATGATACAGCAGATTCAGACAGCATGTGCAGCAACACACACGACGCAGCTTGAGCCTGGTCACAGCCTTCCTCTCACCGCAGATGCTCAGAGACCTCCAGTTTCTTTAAGCAGAAATACAAAGGTTATGGAGGATCAGTGCATGTTCAGCACTGCTTCAACTGCTGACTTCGCTTTCCAACGGCCTAAAGAGGCAAGGGGACATCTCCCTCTAGTGCCCAGCTCTGTAGGACTTCCCTATGGTGGTGTGGCTGGGAGGGAAGGAGTCACTTGGAGGTGGGACCCAGCCTGTGCTGAGGGCTCCAACCTCCCTTCGAAGGGTTTACAGCCGCTGAGCACCCATCCAGAGGGGGCTTTGCCCCTGCTCTCCACAGCTCATAGGGACTGAAGGCGAGTAAAGCCCTTCCCAGCTGAGCATCCCCACCTCCTCCTCCTGCTCCTGGCCCTGTAGGGCCATGTTCAAGCAGCAAGGAGGCAGAATTTGTCCTCCTGGTGTTGCTGGGGCTCTTTGGGATCATGGCAGGTTGTCCATAGGGCTATGTATGGTGCAGATGGGTCTGAAGGGCTGGATGAGCGTGGGCCAAGGGGAGGGATGGGAAGGCATAGATTGAGTAGGGGAGCTGAGAAGCTGGGGGTCTGGGAGAGGAGGGGATGTTAGGGAAGGGAACAAAAGACGGTGGGGATCAGGTTAGGATCCCAGCACCCAGCAGAGGATGATGGCAGGATTCCCACCCATGGGAACATCTATCCCAATGTAAACCCAATTCTAGCTCCCTGCTGGAGAAACTCAGCATGGTTTAAGTGGCCAAGATCCCCTCATCCTTATGAGCTGGGGACAGTAGCTCTACCCAAGTCACAGCTGGTAGGAAACACACAGGACACATCTGTACAAGGCTTGGCATTTTATTTACATCCAAGAGGTTGGGTGGGGAGGGTTAGACAGAGAACAAAGCATCGCTTCCAAGGTACAGACGCCTCCTGCAGAGCAATAACACAAACACTCGTTTCTGCCATGCAGAATTCCCCCTGGGACAGGGTGAAGGAAGCAGCAAGGTTGCCAGCAGGATCGGCCACAGGGCAAGTTGGATGGTACCAGCAGCACCCGGTGGGTAGACGACCAAGCTCTGCACTGCTCATGAAGGATGCTCCTCATGGGACTTGACACAGAGCCACTGGGCTGCAAACAACAGATCACCCTGTGGGGATAAGGAACATGGTTGGACCAGGACATCCTCATTCCTGATGGGTTTCATCCAAAGCAAGGGTTAACGTTGTGAAGTTCCTGTTAATGTTCCAGGCTTATGTTCTCCATTCAAGTATAAAGACCTTGGCCATGAGCCCTATCTCTGGTGGGGCACAAGGATATCTACTCAAGGGGTCTCAGGGATGAAAGCCCCACCAGCACAGAGAATAGGTTTGTTATGGGAAGACTGGAGTATGTGAGCTGTTTGCAGGTGACATGGCAAGTTTAGGCATTTGGAGACTTGCAAGTGCCAAAATCCTACCTAAAAATGACTCTGTTGCATTTTCCATGCAAGAAAACATCGAAACATCTGGGCTATAAACTCAAGGCAGATCCCTGAGCCCAGAGCTCACCCCTTTTGTACCTAGGATCATTCATGTTAACCATCAGCAGCCAGACATTGCCTGTGCTGTAAACTGGGGAGCCTTGGGGACATGGAGCTCACACAGTGGCCTTTGTTGAGTGGCACAGATTGCACCAGTGGGCAATTGAGAAAGACAAATCCAAGCGGGTACAGCTATTGAGCAATGAAGGGCACACTCAATCCCTGGGGTTTGGGGGTGTGATGCAAACAATAGGAAGCCACCCAGCTGATGGGGCAATAGGACAAAGTGCCATACCCCTCCGCCTCCTTGGCACTGCATCTCCCCAACCTCTTACCTCACAGGCTGGGGGTGCAGGCTCAAGAGCTGGGCTGATCATCACTGAGGTTGATCTCCTCCAGGATCTGGCTGTACCTCCGCGTGAGAGCTTTGGTGTTCTTGGTCAGGTCTGTCAGAACCTGCTGCAACCCATTGACATGATGGGAGAGCCGCTCCTCCAGGTTACCATCTACACCCTCATCTTCGGCTGTATCTGCATCTGCATCTGCATCGCTGCTGCTCAAGCTCCGGTCATTGACAGAGGCCAGGCCCTTCTCCACCATGGACTTGATGGCTTTGAGCTGCTGGTAGCGCTCGTAGAGGTCCGTGTGGCCATCGGCATCCGGAGCCTCCCCGTGCTGCTGCTGCGGGAAGACCCCTCGGAGCAGGCTGGGGAACATCACCTCCTGCTCCATCCTGTGCGTGGCTGAGAAGTACTGCTCCATGGCCCCGCTCCGGCTGCGGCAGCGCTGCTCCGGGCTCTGCTCCGGGCTCTGCTCCGGGCTCTGCTCCGCGTGGGTTGTGGTCGCTCCCCGCCGCCTCTTTATGCGGGTCCGGGGCACGGCCCCGCTCTGCCGCGCTCCGCTACTGGCCCAGGACCGCTTGGGCCGGGCCGGGCTCGGCTCCAGCCCCGCTGGGGCTCGCCCGCGGCTGCCCCTGCCTCTGGGCCCGCTCCTGGAGCCGCCTCCCCGCGGCCTTCACCCGACCTGGACGCGGCTCCCGCTGCTGCCAGCGCCGGCCCGGCCCCTCCATCCCCCGCTCCCGGGGCCCGCACAGCGGGGAGCGGCTCTGCCCCGAGCCCGCAGCGAGCGGCGGCTCCGTGGGGATGCTCCTGGGGCTGGGCAGCGCTGAGGGCGCGCACGGGGAGCAGGAGCCGGGTTTCTATGGAGAGGGGGATGCCCCCGCGAGCCCCGGCCGGGCACACAGCTCCTGCAGCGCTGCTCGGGGCTCTCTCACTGCCCACCCGTGTGCAGGAGCCTTGGGAACGGCCCCTGCTGGGAGAAGAAGGGGCTCCGCAACCGGGGATGCTGCTCTGAGGGTGTTTGCCTCCCATGGTTGTGTCAAGGAGGAAGGGGAGCATCAGCGGGGTTAGACAGAGACAGGGAGCTACAAAAGGGACTTTGAAAGGAAGGATTCAGGCTGGAGGGAAGCGTGAAAGGTGCCAGCGTTAGGGAGGGACGTTAGAGGGGCAATGGCAGGAGCCAAAGCCTGTTGGACACAGCCGAAAGCAGCCCTGCGGCATCAAAGGCTCTGCGGGGTCTCTTTGAGCATCCTCCTGTTGGATGCCGTGAGCAGCAGCTCCTGCTCTGACAGCACCAGGCAGGGACAGAGCCAGAGCCTGGAAGAAGCCTCTGGAGAGGATCTAGGCCAGCCCCTGATCCAGCAGGGTCAGTGCTGGGACTGTGTCCGGTTGGGGTTTGGATATCTCTGAGGATGAAGACTGCATCACTTCATGGGCAGCCTCTGATGGGGTTTGACCACCTGCACTGCAAGCAAATAGAAAGCTTCCTCTTTGGTTCCAATGGGATTTCTGTACTTCAGTTTGTGCCCATCACCTCTTGTGCCGTTGCTGGGCGTCACTGGGATGAGTCTGGATCCCTCTTCTCCTTTACACACAGGGGTGAGATCCCCCAAGCCTCCTCCTCTCCAGGCTGAGCAGCCCCAGCCTCACGGCCTGCCTGCCTATGGAAGATGCTCCAGCTCCTTCATCGCCTCCATGGCTCCTCACTGCACTCTCTCCACTCTGTCCCTGCCTCTCCTGTAAAGAGGGGCCCCAACCAGAGCCAGCACCCGGCTGTGTCCCAGCAGGGCTGTGCAGAGGGGCAGGATCCCTCCTTCCTGCTCCTCCCCAGAGCTGGTGACTGCCTGCCCTGAGGACACCTTCGTGGCCCCTACGGCTTCATGGGGCTGCTCAGAGCAGGCTCCTTGGACTTCCTGATGTAACATTTTGGGTCCAGACTGTGCTTTATCTCTTGCCTCCTGCTGCTGAGCCTGTGCCAGGGCCCTGCTTCCTGCTCCACTGCCTGTGGCTGCGCAGACAGAACTGAACCGCTGCAATCCTGAGCTGCTGCAGGGGTGGGAATGGAAAGTTCATTCCCTGTGGTGGCCGCAGAGGGCCTGATCTGCCCCATCTGCCCTCGTCCTGCAGGGCCCTGCGCTGGGTTTGACAAGGACAAAGACCTTTCTGGGGAGCACCTCATGTCCCTTATCAGCCACGTCCATCAGTGGTGGCAGCAGCACGGCCCCACTGGGGCTTGATGCAGCCCGGGGCAGTGTGATGGAACATCCTGGAACAGAGCAGCCACGAGTGTCCTGGGAATGAGCGGGGTCAGGGCCGGCTGCCAGGCACGGCTCAGAGGGAGCCTGGGGTGCTGGGCAGTGCAAGTGGTGCAGAAGTCATCCCTGTGCCCATCCAGCTCCTCGGGTCACTGCTCTGGGTTCTGCTGGCGGGTTCTGGAGCTGCCTGACAGGAGGATGGAGCCAGGAGGGGCTGGGCTCTGCTCCCAAGGAACAAGGGATGGGACAAGAGGAACCGGCCTCAAGCTGCACCAGGGCAGGTTTAGATGGAGCTGAGGACCAATTCCTGCCCCAGAGGGTGCTCAGGCATTGGAACAGGCTGCCCAGGGCAGGGCTGCAGGCACCGGCCCTGCAAGTGTTCACACCCTGTGGAGACGAGGCCTCAGTGCCATGGGGCAGTGGTGGCCTTGGCAGTGCTGGCAATGGTTGGACTGGATGAGCTGAAAGGGCTTTTCCAACCTGGTTGGTTCCATGATCCCATGATCCCATTGACCATGCTCAATCTTCTTCAGCACTTCACCAGATGTCCCCATGTGATTCTCCCCTGAGGCACCAGGGCCTCTCCAGCCACCCAAAGCAAAGCCATTGCTGGAGGTGACCTCAGGCCTTCCTCACTGGGACCACTGTCTTCTCCAGAGCACACAGGGCCCGGCCCTCAGCTCCAGCCAGGCAGAGCACCAGAGGGACATCACCTCCTCCATGGCCCTCACCTCCTGGGGAGCCAATGTCCCTCCATGCTTCATGGTTCAGCCGCTGGCTCTGCCATCAGCCAGGGCATCCAAAAGCACTTTGGAGCCCCCGTGTCCATCTCCCAGCCCCACTGCTCCCACGCACGAGCCATCGGGCCCCATTGGGAGGTGGCATTGCCATGGTACAGCCTGGCCCTCTCCCATCGTGTTCCATTGGTGCTGGATGAGACACGCTGCAGCTTTACCCAGGCTGAGGCAGAACACAGAGGGCAGATGTGCTCTGGTGTCCTCGCCCTGGCTGCCAGGACGTGCGTTTGCCCCTGTGTTGAGGGACTGGGTGCTCCCAAGCTGCTCCCCTAGGAAAGCAAGGCTTTTGGGTGGTGCTGCAATGAGATCCCTTGGGTCTATGTGGGCACAGACCTGGTGTTGGGCAGGACCCCCCCTTATGCAGCGTCCTCCCTCCTGAGCCACAGCCGAGCAAGGGGCAAAATGCCCCCTCTCCCCGTGTCCCTGAGGGTGCCCCTGCCACCCCAGCACCTCCTGCTGCCCATCTCCCGTGCCTCTGAGTGCCCCCAGGGCCGTCCTTGCCACTGCTTGATGCTGACCAGGACCCTTGAGGTGTGCGGCTGCTCTGGGTCCAGTCCCCAGCAGCCCCTTCCAGTGCCCCTGGCCCCTCCCTGGCCCCTCGGCCCCAGGCTGTTGGGGACCCTGCTCCTGCTGCCCCTGCTCACTGAGGACAGGGCAGAGCCCCCGTGGGCTCCAGAGCAAGGAGAGAGGAGCCGGGGAGCTCCAAGGGGACTCGAAGCCTCCTGCCAGGACACGGGGCTGGGCTCCAGGGGCAGTTGCTTCCCACGGGCACCCGGACCTGCAGCTCTGCTGCCCCTCGGGGACGGTGCCAGGCTCAGCTCCGCTCGGGGCAGCTCCGGGGCAGGAATCCGGATGGGCAGGAGAAATGAATGGGGAGCTGTGGGGCACGGCAGCACCTGCAGGGGAGGGACAGCCCCGGGGAGAGCTCTGAAGAGGGACCGGAACCTGGTGTCCAACTACGGCACGGGTTGATGCCCATAGAGTGTGTGCTATGGGCACAGCAGCAGGGGTCCAGAAGGAATTCCTCACTGGGACCGTTGGGAATCACTGCACAGGTTGCCCAGACAAGCTGCACGTTCCCCATCCCTGAAGTGTTCCACATCAGGGAGGAGGGGATTTTGAGCAACCTGGACCCCTGCTCGATGTCCGTGCCTGCAGCAGGGCATTAGGAACTGAATGGTCTTTGGAATTCCCTCCCATCCCAACCCATGCTGTGAGCCTGGGATTCTGTGTCCCTTCACGTTCCCCATCACTGCA